TATCTATCTATCTATCTATCTATCTATCTATCTATCTATCTATCTATCTATCTATCTATCTATCTATCTATCTATCTATCTATCTATCTATCTACAGTTGAAAATGTTTCACTTCATGCCCAAATTCCAGTCAAACTATGCACAGAAAAAACTGACATTTTCAAAACTGGCGTAAATCGCGCTCTGAATGTCACAACTTGAAGTTGTTAGTGTAGACTAATTTGAGCATGGCAATTTCAATTCTGGGGTCAATGTCAGCCGAATATGAAGCCCTGAAAAAATCGGTAACGCCCACTCGGATCCAGGGGCGGCGCTAACTCTATTTGAATGGGGGGGGGGTGTAAGTGAAATCATTTCCACCGTTGCATATTAAATTCCCACCCGCCCCTAATTTCCCCAAATTTGAGCTATAATTATTAGTTTTTAATCAGTTCCTTTTCCCCCTTCCTTGGATACAATAATTTGCCGACCCGCCCCTCTAGAGCCGCCCCTACTCGGAGAACTAGGAACCTTTCTAATATGTATACAAATTATAAATCTAACCTACGCTGTGGTGTTTTGAGAAAACGTATTATTGCTGATCGAAACATGCCGTACGGTTGGTCTATAAACACTTTCATAACAATATCTGGAGAACAAGAAAAATGCTGTGCATATGTTTATAAATCCACTAGTTCTCCGCGTCCGTGCTCTCCAGGGTATAGATTTGAGGGATGTATTAAAAAGTGAACGAGGATTTTTGGGATTTAAGATCCCTGCAATATATCCAAAGATCTGGGGCCGTTTTTGGCAAAATGTTTCACAGATTTTAAAGAACAAGTGACTCAGTCAATTTTGGGGTTTTTCAGTGAGACTTTTGGGATTTTCAGGGATTTTCTGGCAGTCAGTTTAGGAGTTGTTTTTTTTATTTTTCCGATAAACTTAGCAGGATTTCTGGATTTTTTAGGAAGATGTTTTTGGGATTAATCACAAGTCGATATCATGCGCAAATTTATAACTACCATGGCACGACCCTGTGTAATACGGAAATTAATCTCAGTTCGAGAACGAAAATACATATTACAAACATATTAATGTCTTTTTTCACGCGAGGACACTCCTGCCATGATAGTTGTATATAAATTATTACAGTAGTAGACAATTTCCCGTTTGCTGTAACTCATGAAATACCATCAGCGCAAAATTCATTACAGTCGAACTAACCCCCCTGAAGCGAACACATACCTCCCGTCCCAATGATTTCCTTTATTGTCATTACCCCCTCTATTTAAGGTGATTCATCAGTTTTGCGTTGCGCACTTTTACTGCAAACAAATTCTGGCTAACATATCAGTGTAGTCGGACTGCAATGTAAAGTGATATTAAAAGAAAGATTAATTAAGGGCAAAGAGAAAAACACACTAAACCACATCATGTTGCATGTTTAACCCTTCTTTAAATCAAGAAGGTTCGTGACCCTACGTTTTTATATTTTTGTTTAATTGTTTTTCTATACGTTTTACATGCCATATCAGAAAATAAGAGAAAATCATTTCTACAACTTACTGATATCTTAAAGGGGAAGTCAAGTCCGTTCTGCGCATCTGTTCTGCGCATAACAATGAGAGGACCTCTAATGTGAAAATTGCCCAAATTTCGAATTTTTCTGAACATAAAATTTATTTCATATTCATTTAGAAGCATAGCGAACCAAAATGGTGTTAGATATTCAGACAGTACATCATATTTTAAAAAATGCAGCAGTTCAAAATGTAAACAAACCGTTTGTTTACATTACGGACTTGACTTCCCCTTTAAGTTCTTTGTAGTTTTACATGGCGATAAAACATATATTTTGTTTATGATAATTTTGTTTATAATGTCTTACATTTTTCGCGTATGCTTCACAAAACATGTCTGAGAAGATGGGAAAACACATCTTTGCACCACGACAATGCACGTCAATGCCAATGTTTTTTTATTTTTTCTAAAATACCATGTTTTCTTGTATATATAATCACTAGATATAGACATTTTTAGTATAGGATCCTTGTCAACAAAATTCAAAAACGGTTGAGCAATTGCGATTGTTCCTGTAACTCGTAAAAGGGTCAATATGGCGCCAACGAGTTCGGCGAACTTTTTCTCTGTTTTTACTACGGAGCATATCATAAACTTCACCCCTGGAAAGTTTCAGCAAATTGTCATTTCCAGAACAATTACTGATGAATCACAGAATTAAGCGGACAAATAGTAACCGATGAATGTAAATAGACTGATTTAAATTTTCATAACAATCAATAGTTCCCAACAGCCTATATAAATTAAATAACGACGAGTTGGTTTTCGACAGTAAGATAATATTCTGCTAATTAAACCCTTGGGCTAGGTGTCTAGAGTCGATGAACGTTGCCACTTGTTGTGGAGAAAATATACAATTGGAACTCAACTTTTACGATTTGGACTAAATAAAGGAAACTACCAACAAGCCTTCGCTAAAAACCGATCTACCGTTTCGGCCCTGATCTCGATGACCATAATTGGTTTGACGTAACAGATAACTCCAATACCGGAAGAAATGGGATCCATATTACTATCTTGGATTTCAAAGTATCTATAGTGTCATGCAAAGGCTTCCTGGACATGGGTGAAGTGCTCTCTTACGGAGCGGACTCAACAAGTGATCTGCATGGTGTTATGTCTTCAAGCGCCCCATGCCCAGCCGGCGTTCCGCAAGGCTCCGTCATTTCACCAACTCTATTCAATATTTATATATAAATGATTTGGAAGACACGTTAACAAACAACAACCCTACAAATGCGCACAAGCACGCGCATTGACTGCACCATTGTCATGACGTCGTTGCAAACGGAGGCATATCAAACATGCAGGAGTCGACAAATCGATATCGAGAGGTGAATTGGGCCAATGATAATAAAATGACGGTAAATCCAAAGAAAACAAAGGACACGTGGATCAGTTTTCCCAATCCTCTCCTGAATCTCCACGCATATATACAAACAGACGGTATTGAAATAGAAAGAGTAAACACCTTCAAACTTATTGGTGTATATGGATGCAAAACGACTTAAAGTGGAACACCCATGTTCGCAAAATTGAAAAACAAAACGCGAATAAATTATTATTCCTTCTTCGAGAATGTAGGAAATCTTCCCTACCACCCGGGATTGGGCTACTGACATACACGATGAAGATTCGGCCAATACTTAAATACGCTTCGCAAGTATGGGGGATCCCTAAATATCTCGAAACAGAACGCGTTCAACGAAGAAGTCTGAGAATCCTAGGACTGAAGAATGATAGTATAATCGCCACATTAAAAGAAAGAAGGAAAAACATCAGAGGGAAAACATGCAACGAGCTGACAAGAATCGTGGAAGTCCCAAACAACCCATGTAACCGTTATCTACAGCCAGTAAAAAGAATCAAACTTACGAACTGAGGAGGACTACTGTAGAGACAGCTTTTCAAGACAGTTCTCAAAAACACACAGACATAGTACGTCTTTTATTCCAAGGTCGTGTACATTATCAAATTCATGACTGTATATATATTGTATTTAAATAGTTGTTCACATTAGGCTTACATATATATATGTATATATGTATATATATATATATATGTATATATATATATATATATATATATATATATATATATATATATATATATATATATATATATATATATATATATATATATATATATATATATATATATATATATATATATATATATATATATATATATGTATATATATTGTGTTTGTAAATCCATTGTATTTCTATACCAAAGATGGATATTGATTAAAAAAACTCATCAACTCTCATTCTTGTCTGAAGCGGGGTTCACACCAGCGATTCTTTCTCCTCCTGGGGGATGTGAATGAGTGAGAAATGTTTTCTTCAAAAAAGCGATTCTATACACCTTAGTGCATGTGCGAATTCACTCGCCCACATCCGTCAGAAAGATAAGTGTCTGCTGCATGATGGTGTGGAAACTAAACAGAAGTCTTTGCGTATTACTTCTGGTCGTAAGTCGATATCGGCGATCTATTGTATTCTTTTCCGACAGACCAAGCATTTTACATACCAATGTCCAATGACCTGCACAGACAATGGAAATCCTCGATTCTTTCGACCAGTGTGAACCAGGCATAAGTTTACGGTCACGGTGATTGAGTTCATTGTATTTTCGTATAATTAAGTTGTCGTCTATATAAGGCCAGCTGAGATTAAACGTGCATGCAACAACGATGAATAATATTTAATCATTTTAATGAAGTTGAGCGGATTTGTGCACGCGTATGGGGACGTACAGTTCAATATCAAACAAAGGTCTTCTATTTTGTAGCTTTGAAGTTTGCCGGGCTTCCAGACCATCATATATATTCTGACGAACTATGTTTTCTGACACCGAATTATATTAAACCTTCTTCAAGCAGTCACACACACACGGCAAGCCATATGCAATATCCAGTTGTGTGTGCACTCAAACACTGCTTGTTCCCAGTTTCTTGATTAACGAAACTTTATACAAGGTTGATGACGTTGGCAACAGATTAATTAAATTCTTACAACTTGTTAAAAAAAAATTGTTAATCCTCTGGGGCCGGTTGTGCGAAAGCTGGCACAGAGAACGCTGACAGGCCTAGGGTGTGTTGGGATAAGCACCTGACTGACTGTTCCATCGTAGCTGTACTCCGTGATTAGACACGAGTCATAAGGTGGCTGGCCAAGGCGCCCTTAGGAAGCCTTCGACTCGACCAGGTTGAACTGCGTCCTGTGTTCAGCTTAGCTATCAGATGCAAATAAGGATGATAAGCGCACCGCCACTCACTTACTTACTTACTTGCTTCCTTCCTTCCTTACTTGCTTACTTAAAGACCATATCAAGTCCGTAATGTAAACAAATCCTGTTTACATTTTGCTATAATTGTAAAATAAGACATACTAACTGAATATCTATATAACACTTTTCTGGTTCGCTATTGTAAATTAATATTTAAACTAATATCTAAATTTGTTTCAATTCAAAGTTCGAAACTGGATGCAAAATTTGGGTAATGTTTATATCTGCAGGTCCCCCTTTGTTATGAGCAGAACTGATGCGCAGAACGTTCTTGACATGGTCTTTAATAATTTTAGAAAGTTTGAAAACATCACTATCCGGTTATTTAATTAGCCCTTCTCATAAGGACCAAAATCCGCCATTTTGGGGTACTATCTGCCCTCGTGAAAGATTCTAGACAATTCAAACAACGTGAAAAGCGACTTTTAAAAGTTGAAACTGTAAATTTACCATTATATACAAACAACTCTAATAATAAAAAGTTGTAGGCAGTACCCCCAAAATGGCGGAAAAATCGGCCGTCTAAATCCGCCATTTTTGGGTACTATTTTATAAACAACGTGAAAGATCTAAGCGATGTGAAAATAATTTTTCAAATATTTAACTGTGAATCGATTTATAATGATTATACTTGCAACTATAGTTACAGAAAGTTTCATTTTCACTGCTTGCTATCCCTGTTCTAAAAAGGCTAATTGCGCTTTATTATGTAGACAGCTACCGGATATAAGCTATTCTGCGATCTGGTTGGCTCTCTTCTCGCAATCCTAGTTTGCGAACGAGGAAACAGCAAGTTATTCGCTTTTATAGCCTTAGCAGGAATAATAACACACTGAAAAAACGCCCAGCAATTGTTCAGAGGTTGGCAAATAAATTTTCTATATTTAAACTGGTTAAAAACGATATTTTTGAAAACAACAGATAAAAACATGAACAGAAATCAGAAAATTATGTCAGCTCATGCATAGACTCGAGTTCGCAGAATAATAGCTGGTGAATATCCGCGGCTTTCGTACGACTATCCCCTGTACATTGCACATTGTACATTGTACATTGTACAAGCAGAAACATTGTACAAATAATCTACATTGGAAAAAGCTGTACCAGTTTATTGAACAGAATTGAAATGATCTTGACCAGTATATAAGGCGCATGAATACGTCTTCCAGCATATCTCCATAGTGCGACTTTCCACAATAATGGCGCGATAAATAGGCTAAGTGACGTTACACTTAGGATGATCAAATAAATCTGAAAGAAAAGACAATAATTAAGTTCAGCCGGGGACAGAAGTTCACTGTGTTCATCCATATAGTTTTAAAAATAAAATCGGGTTTCCAAAATTCCATTTCATGGCCGGATTTTGAGAGGAGGTGCCCACCTCCCTGGAGATCGTTTTGCACCTCACTCATCCTCTTGGCCGCGCGCGACCTTCATAGACCCTGGGATACACGGAGTCGGAAGTGCAAGAAAACTTGCAGTTTTTTGAAACTTGCAGTAGTTTCTAAAGCGCATACTCTTGAATTGGGATGCTTTAGCACCCGTAACAATTTTCACAGAGAAGTATTACGAAGAACGAAGTATTTGTGTTGACATGTTTTGATAGAATAATTTTGCCTAGCGAAAGTGCTCAACTTCTGGGAAATAGCAGATGTCTCCCTTTAGTCGTCTAACCCAGAGCCTATAACTTTCAACGAGTGACCGAGTGAAAATGGCTCTGGGATCGAGAATGCACCTCACTTGAATGCACCTTACTTTGGGGAATTGCTCACACAGGGGCAGTGAAGTAGTTAAAGAAGTACGATCGTACTACTGGAATAGGAACTGGCCGAGTTGGTATGTCGTGCAAGTTATCAGTTCGTTGATCACCACGTTGATCGATCGTTTTACAGCTCAAACGTTTGCATTGTTTGCACTACATGTTGGTTCGGCGAGGCATTTTATTAAATATGTCAAAATGATCTAAATGGTCGAACGAAAAACTAGACAATTAAATGATGGTTCTCGAAGTGGAGTCGCTTTATATTGGCAGCGTTTGCTTAAATGTTTTGCTTTATGTGCAAATATAAAGCAAATTTGTGTACGTGCAAATTACGTGCACTTTGATGCAATTAGCGCATTTTTCTGTGTAGTATTATGAGCAAACAATTAATGCTTTTAAATATTTGTTCAATTTGTGTGTGAACTGTGAAGAATTAATTCTTGGTGGGCAATTGAGGTTTTCAGCTTACTAATACCACGTCATTAACAGACAACCCCAACCATAACAAAGACAGTCATGGACCAGCGACTAACCATTCAATTTTGATTAAATTGTTAATAATTATAATTAACAATTGTCTTTGTTATGGTTGGGGTTTGTTGTGAATATTGATGATATGTATATAATTATTCCACGCCTACAGACAATAATTGCTTGTACGTTGCCCCTAAATCGAAAATAAAAAATCGAACACCGTCAGTCGATGAGGAATATCGTTTGGAATCATCGTGTCAAATTTCATGACGATCGGACTCAAAATGAAGGAGCCTTCAGCCGGTTTTCCACTTCAAGCGTACCGTATCGTACCGAAACGTATCAAAAACGTTTTTAAATTTCAAAATTTCGTAAATGTTGATTGGTTAGTACTTCCGTAGTACGCCAAAAAGTTGACTTGCGACGAACTTTTTATTTTGATACGCGAATACACCCGGAAGTACGTGGATTTATAAACCTCTTTTCAATCTGCGCATGTTCACCAGTACGGTTCGTTACGATACGGGCATAGAATAAAGATCCATATAGAAGGGCCACTCAGGGGTGCAACGTGTCCTCGTTTTTTTATGCAAAAATATGCAGTTTACTGGCCAGAAGGCGGAGCAGCCAGCCAGTACAGCGTGTTTATTGGCCAGAAAATGTCATTGACTGGCTAGGAAAATGGCGGCCAACATGCGTAATGCGACATGCGCGAGGACAGAAACTTCAAAGCTTCCGACGTAAGTGGCCCTTCTATATGGATCTTTATTCTATGATACGGGCGAAGTGGAAAACCGGCTTTAGGCTTTTTTCGAAGAGCGTCGCCCCCTAACAACAACAACAACAGACAGATTTAGATCGAAGACTCGATCTAAATCTGTCTAGCAATAACAACAAGATTAGTAGGGATTGGGGACCAGTTCCTGGTCCAAAAAGGCTACATATGGACATACCTCTCTGGTTATTAATCCGAGGCGTCGAGCTCGACTTCCAACAACAAAGGAGAACTCACTGACTTGGGCAAGGCCTGCAGCTATTATAAACCTCACGTTCTTTGTTTCAACCATCAGCAAGCGGAGAACTGAAGAGGCTACGACAAACTGCAAGATGAACAGGGGATTTTTCAGGATTTTCTGCCAGGTCCGTTTTTGTAGGAAAGATTAAGTTTACCTAAACAGCAGGGGAACTGGGGAGGGTGGTGGAGCCCGGGGGATCCAGGGGTGAATGCCAGGAATCTGCACGATTTTAGCTTTAACATGCCTTTAGAACAGCTCAAAATGGGAAGCAGATCATGATCCACAGTTGCAAAAAGTGTCCTCTTCCTCCGGATAAAATTTCAGGTTTTCAAACCTTCGTCAAAATAATGTGAATAATGGCTTTTTCAATTTGCAAAATATTTAAATTATGTTCATTCAAAATCGGCTTTTTATTCCCATTTCCTACTGACTAGTATTTAGCATTGATAAGAAGGTTAATTGCATTGTAATCACACGCACATAAACAGCACAGGCGACAGCTAGCAGATGTATAAGTTATGATACGCTACAGAAACGCGGTCCCTAAAGTGTTCCCAGGGGGGGGGGGAGGAATAGGCGAATAGCCCCTCTAACATGTTGGCCAATTCATGGAAATTAGCCCCTGCCCACGTCATATTTTTACTGCACTGAAACTTTTGTTGAGAACACCGAGTTTCAAAATTCAATGAAGATTGAAAAAGCCATGAAAAACCCTGAACGAAACGAAATCTCTAAATAAAGGAAATCAAATTTGTTGGAAAAACAGCAAAAGGTACAATGCACTTTAGGCAAAAGGCACTTTATAGGAAATTTTGAAGGGTGGAGTGGTAGTTATCAGTCTACATAGATTCGAGCAGGAGATTGGGGGTTTATTTCAGAGGGGGGTTAATTTACGGTACTGGAGATCATGAATCCAATTCCAAATGGAAGAGAAAGCCTCTAAAATATTCTGTACACAAACCTTTATTATAACGACACCCAGAGTTAACGTGACAATAAGAGTCAGCTGATCATAAAGAAACGTCAGGAAAACGTGTAAACCTATATAAGAACAATTTCGTTGCTTATATAATTAAACTGTAGTAAATTAAATGAGTCAAAATGACGGAAAAGGAATCGTTCTGGGGTCAATGGGGAATTTACGCATGTATAAGACGGCGGCGCAATTTTTTTTTCGGTAGACAGTCGGACTCCTCATTGATAGTCGGACGCATCGTTGATCCGCGTCCAGGCCTCCGCGAGTTATATATTGATCCCTTCGTATCCTGCGTAACCCACTGGTTCGCTATATAGTATACATGACCATCACTCCACATTGTTCTTCTTCGACCAATGTAGAAAGATGGACGACTTGTTCCGCGATGACATAGCAAATCTACAAACTTATTTTTCTGGTTCCGAAAATACTCAAAAACTGTTATTGCGAGTTAAAACTATGTATAATCCCAACTGAAGAGAGGAAGTTCTGGAAGTATTGCAGAATACCCATCCACTAGTATATCATATCATCTAGCCTGGTTACTATTTCACTGGATATAAGATATACGTACTGACATACCTGATCTTATTGCCTCTGTCTAATATACACAAACTAATTACTAAGACAATATTAGGAATTGATACTATAAAGGAAATATCTTACAAGACTCAGTCAATGTTTGATACTATTAGTATGCTTTATACTAGGTTACCCACAGGGCAGTAATGCTGCCTTTGACAGCAAAAGACAAACTACAGGGTGTTGAACGAGTCCTTTAGAAACATCCTATTATTGTTATCCTTGTTAACCCATTTATTGACAGTACCCTACCACTGACTGAGTATTAAAAATCGTCTGGCGTTGGACAGGGTAAATACTAAAGTAGGGGTCATTACTGTGTTGATGAATTAACAAGAGCCATTGGCAGATAGGTTTGTTAACCCATTTACTGGCAGTACCCTATACCACTGACGAGTAAAATCTTCTGGTGTTGGACAAGGGAAGGGCGCATTGCCAGCTAATGCGTTAAACCACCGTGGTTAAACATAAGATTTCATGATGCTCCAGGAAATGTAAACAAGCTATCAGTGTGACATCCCAGTTTATATATTTATATACTCGGAATATTGATTTCTCGGTAAATACAAAATTATTTTAAAGTATAACAACCAGCGAAGACGTAAGCCACTAACTACCCTGCGCGCGGCTGCGCGCAGACTATATAATGACATATATATGTCATCCGTCCGGTCCGTCCGTCGCCATCCGTCCGTCCGTCATTCATCCGTCCGTCATTCATCCGTCCGTCCGTATCCGCGTTTTATCCTAACCCGTTTTTAAAACACAAAGTTTGCATAATTAAGGCAGTGCGGTTCGTCATGATCAACATTTTCAAAAGCGGCCAATTAGACCAGGGGTTAAAGGGCAATGACATGCAGGTGACATTTAACATTGCGTCTCACTAATTAAAATTTGCGTGTTTAATAATGTTTATCAAAGAAAGCAAAAATGTATACAAGACAATCTCACATGTGGAATTTTTTCACTTACGTACTGCCTTGTGATGCAGTACAAGTATAAATACAAATGACAAAGCATTTGTAAATTCTAAAACATAATTAAAAAATCATACGGCACATTTAAGATTTTAATATCGTATTTCAGCCGCGTTTATACTGTTTGGCGCATTCGCTGCGTTATATTAATTTATGTCAAAAACATGTCATTGTCCATGCAGACCATAGGCAAAAAGAATTTGTCAACCACATACCAAATTTAAGCAATCGTTAAATCATATACATGTCATGGAAAGAATATGGAAATAATGTTGAATGAAAGCTAGCATCGCGTATAATATTAAAAGCACCGCATATAGTGCTCGAACCACTGCGTATAATTGCAAAAGAACAGCGTATATAAATGGTGAAAGCACCGCGTATAATACTGGAACCACCGCGTATAATGGCGAAAGCGCCGTGTATAATGCCGAAAGCACCGCCGTATAATGCTAAAAGCACCCAACAAAATGCCGTTTGATCACTCTAAGCCAGCTGTGGCTTTCCATAAAAGAAGCGCAAGCATGTGTTTTCTCTTTTAGTCATTCTAACCAGGAACTCTACGCGTGTGACAAACTTTCAGCATTCATAGAAAATTGTAATGGCAACCTCGAATCCCATGTCGAAAATCGGACGTCAGCGTGAGAAAACATGGTCTCATCTCCAAAAACGATTGACCTGCAGACGATTTCTTCAATTACGCCAGAATCATGCGTGAAAACATCCTAAGACTAAGTTTTATAAAGCACAAAGCCACAATAACTAGTTGACTGCGCATCCGCGTATCCACTGAAAAATAGAGCTACTGTACCTTTAACACTATGAAAATTTAATATATTAATGCTAAGCCACTGAATGCCTCGTAGCTACTTTTACCACCATGGGATTTTAATCAATCTATTTATTATTAATCTATTGAGAATAAATATAGATGTATTTATATTAATTAATACATTGTATCCATGATGTTTGAAAGGCATACTTAAAACATCGGAAAGCGCATCTGATAAGAGTATCCGCTGAATGTTTTCTTTAGGGGCGCGGGTCAATGATGCGTCGGATATCAATGAGAAGTCCGACTGTCTACGGAAAAAAATTTGCGACGGCGGCGTCAGGACGACGGCTAAGGCTAAACATAGTGAAATATTACATGATTGTATGGACATTTTGTCTAGTTATATCTTTACTTTCGTATGTATTTAATACAGTTTCGAATGAGTACAACAGAACAGAGCAACTCTGCTAGAAAAACTACCTGACGTGAGTGACGTGAAAATATGCATTTTGCCGTTGTCAACAGAGCTTGGATCAGTTGGACGACGTCTAAAACCCCTGTTAGACTTTTAATTATTCGCTTGGGGCAGATTGGTGAAATTTATAGAAAAATAGAGCGTTTGCACATGACGTCACAGCCGCTATGTTGGTGTTACATACATACATACATACACACATACATACATGTACATATACATAAAAATTTATTTAAACACGTTAGCCCTAATATCTTTCGATGATTTCCATAGGGGACGTGTAAGATTAAGACTAATACATATACATAATACAAACTATTTACATGATTATTCTTTAGACAATTAGCAAACATAAATACATAACAAACATACAAAAGTAACAAAACTATTTACATACTTATTGTTTTCGAAAATGTAGCTTCATTAGTCTTTTGAAACAACTCATAGAATTGGATTGTTTTGCAGTAATTGATAAGTTATTCCAAAGAGTTGCTCCACTAGAACTGAACGTCTTTTTCTTAAATTGTGATTTTGGGAATGGAAGTATCAGATCTGTTTGAGAATTTCTTAATTGGTGTATAATTGGACAATCACTTATTTTCAAAAAAATTTCTTTCAGGTTTGGAGCAGTTTCATTATTTAAGATTTTGTAAATAAAAATGGATTTCAAGTATTTTCGCCTATTGTCAAGAGTTTGCCACCCCAAAGTTGCAAGAACATCGGCCGACCTAATATCATAAGATGCTCCTGTTATTACTCTAGCAGCTCGGGATTGACATTTTTGTAGTTTTTCCTTTAGGACGATTCCACAGGTATCCCACAATTGACAGCAGTAGTCAAAATAGGGTTGTATTAAGGCGTTGTAAACTGTTTGTAAGAATTCCTGAGGAACACAGGTTTTCATTCGTTTAATTACTGCAATGCCTGCATTAACTTTCTTAATAATCATATCAATATGGTGTTCCCAGTTTAATTTTTCGTCTAAAGTGACACCGAGGCATTTATAGCAATTTAATCTTTAAGTTAGTTTTTAGTTTAGTTTAACAACTTTAATTCAGTACTGCACATACTAAATAAGGCTTGACACGAACGGGACGAGGTTCCATGCAAGGTGTCAGCCTGACTAAAATTTACAAACTACTAGCGTAACTATAATAACCATTATATACAAGCATTTAAAATAGATAAAATAGGAATGATAAGGACACGTCCTACACAATGAATAGGTGCAGGGTAAATCTGGATCGAATGTTGTTGTCAAAAGTTCCTTGTAAGTCTTGTACAAGAATGTTTTGAAACTACTGAGAGTTGCAAATATACAAGATGGAGCTAACTTGAGGATTAAGTTCCATAGATGGACAATTCTATTGAAGTACGATGTTTTAAAAGTACTAGTTTTGCAAAAAGGGGTCTGTAAATACATTGACGACCCCCGTCTTGTTCTACTACTGACAAGAGGTGTAAAAATATTTGTATCGAGGTCAATTAGACCATATCTACATTTATAATAAAAAGTCAAATCTTTGATCTCTCTATCATAAGAAAGTGGCAGGAGATCTAGTTTCTTTAAGCGATCCACGTAAGCTAAGCCCCTCGTTTAAGTCTTAAAATCCACAACGAAGCACGTCGTTGCACGCCTTCAATTCTTTTCTTCAAAGTAGCAGATTCAGGGGACCATACTTGAGAACCGTAACTTAGTTGCGATTTAACTAGGGATAGATACAAAGCTCTCCTAGCTCGTGTATCAGGTAAATCATAACAAGTCCGTTTCAGGAGACCCAGACATTTGTTTGCAGTAGATCGAATTTGTGTGACATGAGAATCCCACTTAAGATTATATGTTATTGTTATCCCCAAATCTCTTACTTCATCACAACGAACAAGATCATTACCAGCCAGGTTGTATGGAAATGTACTGGGATTTTTCTTTCTTGTAACTGTGAGGATTTCACATTTAGATGAATTAAACTGTAGACTGTTTTTGACGCTAAACATCAAGGTTATTCAGGTCTTGTTGTAGGGCCATGGAGTCAACCAGAGATGTAATAGGTCGATATACTTTTGAATCGTCCGGGTAAAGAGCGGTTTTCGATGCAGGTGATAGGGAATCAGGCAGAGTATTGATAAAAATTGTAAATAACAATGGCCCTAAAATGCTCCCCTGAGGTACCCCAGAGGTAACAGGGGACCATTCAGAAGCAACATTTTCTAGCACCACGCGTTGGCATCTATCAGTTAAATAATCCTTAAACCAGAGCAATATAGAACCTCTGAGTCCGTGCGCATAAAGTTTATGATGGAGAATCGCGTGGTCGACGGAATCAAAGGCCTTAGCAAAGTCTAAATAAATCATGTCTACTTGTTTGTTATTGTCCAGATTGTTCCCAATGTCATGCAGTACAGACAATAATTGGGTAATGCATGATCGCTTCTATAGAAAACCATGTTGTGTTTTATTTATTAGTGCAGAGAGGATTGGATAAACCCGGTTATGAATACAACGTTCCATTACTTTAGAAATAATACTCAGCAAAGATATCGGTCTATAGTTGGAAACATTCTCTCGCGAATCCCTCTTGTGCACCGGAGTTACATTCGATTTCTTCCATTCGTCAGGGACTTTGCCAATTTTAAGTGATGTATTAAAAAGGGAGCATAGGGAAGGAGAGATTTCCAATGCACATTCTTTTAATATGCGAGCAGGAATTTCATCAGGCCCGCATGCTTTTGTTGTATCGAGCGTTATTAAGCATTCACAAACCTCATTAGTTTCAAGTTGAATTTCAGATATTTGCATAACTGTTTCAGACGCATCGTTGAACTCAAAACAAGTCCGATCAGATTTTGGTTGAAACGCAGAGGAAAAATATGAATTAAACAAATTGACTTTTTCCGGATTTGTTGTGGCTATTATGTCGCTGTGAGTGATAATTGTTGACTGTTGTTTATTCGAGTGAATGGCCTTATGATATGACCAGAATAACGTGGGATTGTCCGCAAAAGAGTGTTTAATATTTGCTAAATAGTCCTCATGTTTACGTTTTAACATATCCTTGACTTCTTGAGTTATTCGCCGGAGATTTTCTTTACGTTGCTGTGTTTGATTTAAGCGATAGCGGCGCAAGGCCGTGTATTTTTTTTAATGAGATATTTCACTTCGCGATCAATCCAGGGAGGTGTATTCTTATCAGAGACCGTTTTCTTTGGCACAAATTCCTCAACAGAGGTTAAAAACAAGTCCTTCCAAATTTGCCAGCATTCATTTATGTCCGTCTTTTCGGATATTGCTAGGTCAAGAGGAACATAGTTAAGATGTGTGCGAAGGCCGGGAAAATCAGCACTCTTATAATCATAGACAGAACGTTTCACTGGTTTAGCTCTATTACAGCAAATATTTATCTCGAAGTTGATTAAATAATGGTCTGTGGGGAAAATGTTATGCAGTTGAGTACAAGTCACATTCGATATCATGCTTGTATGATTGCAAAGAATACAATCAAGCTTATTTCCTTGTATGTGGGTAGGGCCAGTAACCAAGTCACTAAGGAAGTTGTCAGCTATAATTTCACAAAATAGTTCTTCATTTTGGTTATTATTTGAAGCTGGTGTGGGGTAATCGTGGGACCAGTCAATTTTAGGTAAATTAAAATCTCTGGCAAGTATAAGTCGACAAGATTCATCCAATTTATCAAGGCTTGAATGCAATTCTAGAAGTGAGTCTATATTGTCGTTAGGTGGTCGGTAAAATACACCAATAATTAACTTAGGGTGGCCCAAAGGGAATACTTCAACCATAACTTGTTCGCAATTTGTTCCCTCGAGATGATTTCTTCTAATCGAGCGAAGGTCAGATTTGATAGCAACTAAAACCCTGCCGCCTCTACTATTCAAACGATCATTTCGATATACAGTATAGTTTTGGAGAATTTCATTATCCAAAACGCCCTCATGAAGCCAAGTTTCACACACACATACGATATCAAACTGTTCCGAGTAAACCAAGTTTTGAAATAACACAAGTTTACTCATCTTACAGCCTTGCACAGCGTTGTTGTTGTCGTTCACCAGGGCTTTGATACTTCAAACCAACTATAAACAAGCATCCAACTATAATCAAGCACGAAAATCGGCACTTTGTGATACAGAACCCATTAAAATCCCCAAGGAGTACAACAAAGGTATTAGGCATTAAACGTATTCGGTCCAAACAATTTTGCAAATGAGTTCATAATAGCACTATAATTTGGTGGCCGATAACAAACTGCACAAACAAAATTAGTATTGCAAATTTTAAATTCAACAAACAACAATTCAAATTCACAACTTTTGAGATCCAACCATTGCCTATATGCAATACTAGATGAGATATACAATGCAACTCCACCGGCCCTCTGACCATTCTGTCTATCTAAACGGATTATCGGTGCAAAACCTTGAATATTTAAGGAATCCCTAGAAATGCTGTCATTTAGCCAGGTTTCTGAAACGGCCAAAATGTCCAAATTTAAATTATGGACAAGACAACATATTTCATCAAATTTATCTTCAATATTCAAACTTCGAGCATTAACGTGACCCATATTCAAAGTTACATTTCGAGGAGGACCAGCATTGCTCTCAATATCTCCAGCTACCATCAATGGTATACACAATATTAAATATAAAATAACACCATTAACTAAGGATTTACAAAAAAAGCGAAGACAAATTTGTTAATTTCTTATGAATTTGACATACACGTCGATTAAACACCACGATAGCTGCTCTATAAATCTCTAAACTAACCCCTATTGCAAAATTTAATACACAATAAACTTACCTCGGGCTGCACAAGTGAACACACAAATATCGGAATATTAAAATATAATAAAAGCATGTTTGAGATAGAAGATAAATAAAGCATTAAAGCATGCTATAAGTACAAATGTATACCATGTAGGATGTGGGTAAAAAAAATTTTAACTAACAATTAACATGTTCTCAATGTCCTCTACTTTCCTCAGTCGTACAATTTTAGCATTCGCTGACCTAACCGGAATTTTTCCATCTGCGGTCCATACTGGTAACTTATCTAATGATCTTCGGGCCTTCAAAAACAATTGTGTTAAATATAGTAAGATCTTCATTTACAAAAAATATACGGCGCTTCAAATTATGACGGTTGCTCAGTACTTTTGCCTTTGTTTGATAAAAGATAAACTTAACAATTATCGCATGAGGCGATATAGAACTCTCTTTAACTTTGCTGACCCGACGAGTTCAATCAATTCTTAGGTTACATCACCTTGAATATTGTTCATTATCATTAGAATGTAATTTCGCTTTGTTTACTTGGCTTTTTAATACTGAGATTTGATCTCTTAAAGGTTGTACAGATGCTTCGATTTCTTTCTTTACGAGAGATTCAATAGTGCTAGACATTACTTCAGATACACCTGCTGTAGTAGTTGATAGCATCATAGTTTTGAACTCTTCTGAAACCAGGAATCCACCCATTTCTTTACTTATCACGCCATTAACCGCATTTATAAATTCATCAGATTTAAAATGGGCTTCTAGTTCTTTACGTAGATCCGAGCGGCTTCTTGTGTCCTTCGACATATCCGAGCGAACTAATGTACTATTTATTTCAAAATTTTATTTAAGAGGACACATCTATAACTTTTATATATAGCCCAACACTCCTAACAGACTTAGCAAGTCATTGAAATACAAATAAAACAATATTTTCCAAAACAAAATCGCTTAACACAGGAGTGATAACAAACACGTCTGTTCCGCTCGATGGGCATGTGACACTAGTAGACTAGTTCCTCATTGATCGATTTAGTGTCGATATATGGAGACTAGTTCCTCATTGATTGATTTAGTCGTCACCAATACATCTGAACTAGTCCTTGCTAATACTATGGTAGACTTTGGCTTGTCCGATCATTCCCTAATATTTACAAAAATTAATTTAAAGACAAAAAGCCACCAGCAAAACCCGTGATTATAAAAAGCTGGAAATGCCTGCATTTAGAAGGGATTTAGAGAATGCCCCATGGCCAGTAGTTGAAGTGTTTGATGACCCAGACGATTCTTATTGGGCATGGAAAGAGATATTTCAAGAAGTTTCTAACATACACGCTCCTCTCAAGTCTGTTAAACTCCGTAGGTACACTAAGACATAAAATGAACAAGAGGTTTAAGCTTCTGTGTCTTGCAAAGAATACGGGAGATGATAACATTTTTTTAAAATATCGTAAATTAAGGAATGAGGTAACATCTGAATTTAAACGAATATTTCGCAAATTTATCTAATGATGTTACGGACTGTCGTAAGCTAGAAGGAGGGAAAACAGAACATTGGCAACAGAAGATACCGAGAAAGCAGAAAATTTAAACAAGCATTTCGCGACAGTTGGACAGCAACTTGCAAATCAAAATCAAAACCCTCAAATAACCCATTACACTTCTGCACAAATTGTCCCAACAATTCCAACGTTGTCTAAAATACAAATTACTGACGCCTTTGTTAAGGAACAAATAACAGAACTTAAATCTAACAAGGCTATTGGCCCTGATGGAGTCAGCCCAAGGATGCTTAAAATAGTTGGGCCAGCAATTGTAAAAATCGATAGCATATATTTTTAAACACAGCGCTGAAACACAGACTATACCGAACATATGGAAAGTAGCCAGAATGGACCATTCCCCAATTAACCAAAATTTTGATCTCAACAAGTCTAGACAAAGTTCCATCATAGCATAAAAGAGCATCACAAAATTAGTAATATTCCAAAGTTTCGTTGCGAAATGTTGTAAAATGCAGATAATATAGCCTTGCGAAATTTGCAATTTTCAGTCATTTTAGATTACAAACGGGAAATGGTTACCACTTTTCCAAAATTTTGATCTTAACTAGCCTAAACAAAAATTTCATCACAGTTTAAAAGAGGATCCCAAAATTAGTAATATTCCAAAGTTTCGTTGCAAAATGCAGATAATAAAAAGCCTTGCAAAGTTTGTAATTTTCAGTCATTTTGTATTACGCACAAAAGTGGTAACCATTTCCCATTTGTAATCTAAAATGACTGAAAATTGCAAATTTCGCAATGCCATATTATCCGCATTTTACAACATTTTGCAACGAAATTTTGGAATATTACTAATTTTGTGATGCTCTTTCAAGCTGTGATGAAATTTTTTCTAGACTTGTTGAGTCCAAATTTTTGGTTAATTGGGGAATGGTCCATTAAGGCTGCACATAAGAAAGACGATGAGACTGAAAGTGACAATTACAGACCCTTGTCAATGTTGAGTGCACCTGGAAAGATAATGGGAAAAGGTATAAGCAATCTTATTTCAAATCATATGAGCGAATACCCAACAAAAGTCACGGAACACCAGTGGGCATACAAAAAGAAACTTTCAACTGAACTGCTGCTTGTGCATATGACAGGAACTTGGAGGACATACATAGACCTAAATAAGGTGGTCATCGCAGTTTTTATAGACTTCAGAAAAGCTTTCGATGCTGTGCCACATTCAATTCTGTTAGAAAAGTTACAATGCCTCGGAATAACTGGGGAATTGCTGACTTGGATACAAGATTATCTGACTGAAAGATAGCAATATACATCTATTGGCTCTGTAAACTCCTTGACAGAGCGAGTGGATTGTGGAGTCCCCCAGGGATCAGTTCTGGGTCCATTACTATTTGCACTCTTTTGCAATGATCTACCTGATTGCACATATGCTGGAGAAGGAACTATAGAAATGTATGCCGATGACACAACATTATACTGTGTAGGAGATACTTTGGATTCGACAATGGCGGCAGTAAATCAGATTCTAGAAAAGGTAACTTATTGGTGCACGAATTCTGGTATATTTGTTCACCCTAGGAAGTGTGAGTATATGATATTGAAGCAAAAGAGGTTTGTAGGCCCCCTTGAAGAAATAAAGTTATGTAACATATCAGTCAAAATAGTCTACAAAACAAGGTGTCTAGGATTGACCATAGACAGTGATCTTAAGTTCTCCGAACGTGTCAATGACATTTTGGTGAGCTTTGCAAGGAAATTGAATCTGCTAAAATCTGTGCAGTTTCTACCGAAGCCAATGTTGCAAGATTTCTATAAGTAAGTCTCCCTTCTATTACCTATGGAATCCTGGTATGGGGAAGTTGCAATGTGACTTTATTTGACAGAATTGAGAAAATGCATGCCCGGGCTGCCAAAATTATTTACAGACTTCATTGGACTGCTGAAGCTGGTGAAGCTTTACTCAAAGCAGGATGAAAGTCCCTAGGATGGCACTATAAACATAGGCTGGTTGGCCTATCTCATAAAGAGAATTTCAAGCTTATTCACTGAGTGTATCATAAAAGCGTATAACCTTAGAGGTCAGAACAGGTTAAGTTTACCATTATGCGCGACAGAAATAATGATGAAGTCCATTGTGTACAGAGGATCAGTTTTGTGGAACAAGCTTCCGAACTAATGTCAGGAATGTTCCTATACAGCACAGATGACATCCCTTAAAGACAGAGACTTTTTGGACATAATTACTAACTTTTGTGTTTATTACTAACTTTAGTGTTTGTTTATAATAATTTAGGAAATTCATAAACTGTATTGTAACATGTAATGTAATTATAGTTGCACGACCACACTTGTGCTGCAATTAGACAAATCGTGTTTAAATAAAAGCTATTGTATTGTATTGTAGGCACTCATATATTTCTGGCCATGTATTTAACAAATATAAAACATTTTCCGTGTTGATATACAGTTATATAAACATGAGTGGAATTGGGAAAACGAGAAATTGTATATCAGTTATATAACTGCGACAGATATCTGCCACATAACTGTGACAGATATCTGTCACATAACTGTGACAGATATGTTATGGGGCCAGATTCCTATATGTTGCAGATATGCAGAATGTGACATATATCTGCTAGATATCTGTCAGTTTGGTAAGGGCTGCCACATAACAAGTTGTATTGGCTTCAATAAGACCATTACTGACAATCATATCACTAACCTGTAACACCAATGTCCAGGGTATTTAGCTGTTCTTTTGGGCTGACCAGGACAGGCATACTTGATTTATCTATGGAAAACTGAGCAAAATAGTATCCAAGTCTTGATCACAATTACCTGTTGAAGATTCAAGGAATTTACGGAAAGCCCAAGTGAATTGAACTGGTGTTGGGTTGTCACTATTTCCTCCTTGTTGACGAATTGCACCAAAGAAATTTTGTATGGGATCTGTGTTTAGTCTTCTGGTGAATAAAAATTTGAAACAATGCATTGTTTTTAGGTGCTCCCACATTTGAAGAATAGCATTAAGTGTAACCAGCCATCCTTGAAGGACACTTAATTCGTCCAGTCACAAAAAGGAACTCGGCTGTACCCAAAGCATATTGCAGCTGCTACAGTGTGGTTGAAGATCTCTGTTGCATACTTGACTTTCATCTTAGAAAAGCAATTAGGATGATGCTTTTCGTCAACTTTGGTACTGTTTGTATGGCAAGAGTATTGTCATTGTTGTAAAAGCTGTCAATATCTTTCCATGTTTCAATGTACAAGCCAAATTTGAACAAGTATTTCATTAAGTTGTTTCTGACACATTTTAGCAGATGTGGTGGCTCAAACATAACAAAGTACTTTTGGTTATTATGAACAAACCAAGGATTTTCAGGTGTTATATAAGCCTTTCTTGTTCACCTATCTGCAACACTGTACTCTTTATAACATTGATAGCCAGGGCCTATCAGAAAATTCGGGTGCCTGGGGCAAATTTTTGTTTTGGGCCCCTATTTCCCCCCCAAAATGTTTGGGGAGCGGGGGGAGGGGTAAAAAAATTTTTCTGGACATTAAAAAAAAGGGTCAAGACATTTTTCTGCTCGAATATCAGTTAAACTAAGGTTCAAAAACTTTTTCAGGACAAATTCCTGTTACAACATGGGTCAAACCCTTTTTTTGGAGTTAGGGGTGGACCATTTGGTTTTCGAGGGGGTTGGACGATTCAGACTGTGCAAGAATTTTTCTGCCCAGGGGAACAAGATTTTTTCCCTGTAAAAGTGGAGCGCAAGATGAAACCCCAATATATTTTGTGGCAGGATATTTTTTTCATAAGGCTTTCATATAGCTATCATTAGAGACATTGTCGGGGTTTTCAGTCAGAGGAACCCAAGAACTGAATCCCAAGAGGAGCCAAGGAATTTTCAATGTGCTTTGATTAATATGTAAAACAAGATTTCAATAATGCGATTTTTAACTGCCCTCTGAAACAACAATGTGCCACCAAATATATGTAACGCTATAGCTATCGTTTATACAGATAGCTTGTTGGGAATCGGGTTCAGAAATATTTTAAAATCTAGACTCTCTAAACTGGCATTTTCATATTAAAATCAACATATAATGTTCAACCTGCATCCTGTAGATGGGCCTTTGAAGCTTTAATAGTTTGGAGCTATGTTATCAAAAAACGCACACAGTCTCAACCATCCAAAAATACTTTTTCTACCTTGCATTTTAGATATGTATAAATAACTTATAAACTTGTATCTTAAGCCCAGATTTTCTCAGGGGGGGAATCAATTTTGCCAGGGAACGTCACTGGCTATCATATGTCATAGGCTCCAAAGGCAGTAGAATCCCTATGATGTTGTCCACTGTTCACCCCATATTCTTTTAAGAAAATGTGCCTGCTCAAAAATGTCAGTAGATTTACATGTAGGAATTTTTTTGAGCACTCTCTTTTGCATTATATTTTTTCTTGATTGTATCTGCATGATTTTTTTCTTTCTCCTTGGATAGCAGGAAATCTTTTTTTGAAATCTTTGAAAATTTGGCCCCCCCCCCCTTAAACTGGGGGCTAGGGCAAATTTCCCCCTTTGCCTCCCCCCTTTGAAAGGCCCTGTTGATATCACACAAGTGTTTCAAGCGCCAATCTAAAGAAAACTTGAGCCTGGATTTTCATTGGATTTGTCAGCAGTAATGCACGTAAATACAACTTTGTTTTCATTTTGTAGACTTTTTTATTTTTTTCATTGTGTTTTATTTCGTTTCTATTTATGGTTGTTTTATTTTGTTTATGGACAAAAGTAAAGATATTTCTTGTGTTTGTAAAACTTGAACTTCAAGACGTTTTTCTCCTCCCAAATCATATGAAAATGATTTTTAAAGGTGCGTTAAAATTTTTGACTTGACTCACCGAGGAAAAGTTTGTGATATATGTAAGCGATGCATGTATTTTGTTTGTTACTTTACATTCTAGAACATTCTAAATGTGTGTTTATATATAAAAAACTTGTAATAAACAAAAAAATGGTGAGTGTAAAGTATACCTAAGCTTCTTTCGAACAGGGACAGTTGAGATCTTAATATATATATATATATATCGATCTTACCACTGCATGTATTAACATGAGAAGAATAATGAATGTGATATGTATATTTTCTTTGCTGAAAAGCCCCATGACGCCTAATTAAACTGCTCGCATGCTATTGTTCTTGTGAAAGATCAATTCAATGTCAAAGTTTTATTGAAATATTTCGAGGGTTGATCAGCGAGTTTTCGAAAACAAAGCATCACTGTACTGTGGCTTATTCTCACATTAAAATCAGGTTGCGCCGAAACGATACAATCGCTTGATACCCGGTGAGCGAGCAAGAAAATAAACTCATTTTGCATAATCTGATCGATTGTTCACATGCTCTGGAACGTGTGTTTTGCAAAGAAAATACAACATATGTAAATCCGAGTTAGAACTAATAGACAAAAGGCATCCAAAACATAAACTACACTGAGAATACAGTTTTACTCAGCTGTCAAGTTCAACAGGGAAAATCACACTCATGCCTAATTGTTATAGTGATGAATTGGGGCGTCTGTTGAAGTTGACAGGACAGTAAACCACATATATCCGTATCAAAAGGATTGATCGGTTAGATTTCAGGCTACACCACCCGCTATATTTCGGTATTCTCTTTCTCCGACCATAGATCCTTCTATTTTACACTTTGAACAAATAATCGTCAAACAAAAACTACAAACTCACGAACCAAACATATAAAATCCCAAGAGAATTCATTCATTAGATTCCATTCGAAAATTTCCGACATTTCATTCCGATCAGTACCTCACAATCATTCTAATTAATGATAATTTCTTCCTTGTTTAAAATTTCAATTCTCATGAAAAACATTCGATTGAGAGTGAATATGTAACCGCTCATTCACTTCAGATGACCACATCTACATGTGGGCTCAGCACAATTAGATTAGCGAGAGCAAAGCACACTGAAACACTCGTGATCAATGCAATGAGGATTTAGTTGGAAGAATAAACAGTTTTGTTAGGAGTCTGCATGCTTTGCCACTTGCACGATAAATTGAAATGGCGAAAGATTTTACTTCAGGTGAGTATATTCTACCTTTCTTCTTTATGCCATGAAGTTTGATTTGTGCCTTGATGAAATTGGCCAGGTTTTTGGGCCGTTTTTCCAGTGCTTTCTCCGATGCATCTTGCTTGATTTTAACCTCTTTATGGTGGCCTGCAACTGTTTGATCTTTTTATTTTGAGCATGAATAATTTTCTTCTGTTTCTTTTTTCTAGGTTCTTTGAGAAATTAATCTTTTTCAGTCTGACCACAAAAATCTGTCTTGGAATCATTGCTATTTTCCTCGACCATTATTGTATTGTCAGTTGTTTTTTCTGGGATATCTAAAAGTTATAAATTCAATGTAAGTGTGTATTGCAGGCAGGTGTAAAAGTCGGACCGGATCACCAGTCCGGGTCGGATTAGGTCGGACCAAGTCGGATCAGGTCGGATCTTTAGAAAATTTAGAAATATCAGGATATTCCGGGAAATGTTACTTACACAAATGGAAGTTTGCATCTTTCCCGCGTTATTTACACAGCGTGGCAAGTCGGAAAAATGAATAGAACAGGTTAGGGGCACTTTAAAAGCCTTTACTTGTGTTGGGAAAATGTTATGGAAAGACGGTGAATTATACTTTAAGCTTTGCTTTATATTAGTCGAGTCCCATTGTTTAACGTCTACGCGTCATTAGCTGAATTCATATTAGAAGACGGATTTCCGTCCAAGACGGGAAACTCGTCTTGGTATAAATCCGGTTAACGACGGGTTCTCCGCGTTTCAACTTTTCCGTCTAACTTTCCCGTCTGACGAGTTTCTCGTCTTAGACGGAAATCCGTCTTAAATTTATATAAGACGAATAAATCAAGACGGGTTTCTGCTCGTAACGTTCAAAAGAAACTTGGATGGTGAGGGTCTTCTATTTTTTCGAGTTTATCCGTCCGATAGTTTTCGTTTCATACTTATACCAGACGGAATCCAGCTATTGCCATGGCTATTTTAAAATTTTGTGATAATAAAGCTGCATATAAGTATAATGTCTAATGAAAACAATAGTGTAGATGTTTCTGATCAGAGTTCTGCATCTTCAAATTTCACATGTGAAGCGTGTATTTTCGTTTTGGCAATTTGGCACGGCCGGACTAGCGATTCGGTCATCAATGCGATCCAGTCCGACTTTTATACCTGCACGATCCGACCTAATCCGACGCGGACTGGCGATCCAATCCGACTTTTACACCTGCCTGTGTATTGCATTTATGCCGAAAATTAAATTGACATAGTGTTTATGCAACCTGCATCATCAACAATCCTTTCTTGTAATTCTTCCAATCTCATTATTTCAGGTGTTGCCTCCTCAGCTGTCGTTTTGTCAATGACATTTGATGCACAACCTGTATGAAACAGTCACCTTAAGTGTAAAATTAGCTTAAGATCTTCTAGGTAATAACTCTTTTGAGTCATAGAATTGTTGGTCTTTCCTCCACTTAACTGTTACTAAGATCCTAATAGTCATCATCTCTTAATTTCCCCTTTCAAGTGAGAAGTGAGAAAAAAGTAACAGGGTCATAGAAGTAGTTGATCTTATTTGGTTAAAATTTTGTGACTAATTCATGGTCACAATTTCATGAGAATCTGCACGATGTGTGAAAGGGTTAGCATTTCAGGTGTTGGTAAGCATAGTGTTGTGTCAAACATTTATATATTGAACCTTGCTACTTATTTGTAATAGTATCCTTGAAACAAAACTTGGTTTACCATTAACTAATGAATACTATACTTTAATATCTCAACTTTATATTAGACATTGTAAATTGTTGCTGTCATATAGAAACAACAACCCTGTGCCACATTCGAATATTACACACCATTCGAGGCGCATCAATGGACGATGTTCAAGCGAATGTTTGCACACAACTTAGATGATAAGAAAAATTGGTGCACATACAATAGGTTGTTCTTAATTCAAGCGTTTTCTATCAGAGGTTAAACAAATCAAACTTGGAGACTTCTGAGACAACGAAGGTTGCCAAGTATCGCATCGCCATTTCTTTGCCGAGGTGAAGACATTAACACAACAGACATTATGTTCTCGACACTTGGGACAAGTAAGACTGCATTCAGACTGAGTGTTGAACACATGTTGAGCACAGTGCCGTTGTTGAGCACAGGGTTCGAATTAAATATTCAAACATGAATAGCTAATTTCTACCCATTGACTCATGCAATAAAAAGTGAATAGCGAATTTCTACAAAGTGATTACTGTGTTGCATATACAGTAAAAAAGGATTAAGCATTCGATCTTCAAGCAGAAAGGCTGTTATAATAAGAAAGATTAAGCAGTCTTTATTTTTTGGAAGTTGTATAAGATTAACAACACAGAAAAGTGAGAAAACGACGATGTAAAATTAAATAATTCCAATTATCACCCGTAAAAATTCGCGCAATACCGTATCTAAAAGAGTTAATGGGTGATTCTAGCTATAGACTACATTTTTATCAAGGCAAGAAGAACGAAATCCAACACCACAGCTAGAAAGAGCATCTTAGAATGAGTAAAACTGCAAAGATTGGTTGCTAAATGGTGTAAAATGAAGAAAATATAGCCCTGCGAAGTTCGCAAATTTTGTATATATTTCGGCTCAAAAATGGTTATTTTTCCCATGTGTAATGCAAATATATACAAAATCACGACCAAACTTTGCAATTTTACTCATCCTAAGATGCTCTTTCCAGCTGTGGTAATGGTTTCGTTCTTCTTGTCTAGATCAAAATTTCGTCTAGAGCTGGAATCATTTTGATTTTGATTAAAAGGCATTTATTCAAAGTGAGAGCAAATTAAAGTACAAACAAAATACTGTACATAAAGTAAATATGGCAAAGCTCAGAAGCAAAACATTTAACTGGCGTACATCGCATACTACACATTATGAATTAAACTATTAGGAAGTTATTGAACAGTTTTAGTTTTAAGTGATTGTGAAATTCAAATCTGATTATAGTTGCATGAACAAGTAACATGACATTTGACCTTTCCCAAGTGGATTTTGACACAATTTTATACTGTCAGCTTTATCATATTAAAACATTAAATCAAAACACAGCTTGAGGCCATTAGGAAACGCAACAGAATTCTATAGTCTATTCAGAAATATCAATGCAAATGAGAGAATGCTTTGCCTCAAAATACACAAAGAATTGTTTCAAAACAAACGTTTCCAGTGTTATTCGTTTTACTTTTTTACATATGAAATCTTCTCAGGTTGAATAGTGATTTTTTTATATTACTGTATCGCAAAATTAGTATCGCTATCTGTTAATTCGAACCCTGGTTGAGCACCACCTCTAGAGGTAGTCAATGCCGGGACACATTATGGACGCAGGCTAAGGCATTCGAATCAGTGCTATCAGCAAAGTTGGCAGTCGCATTTGGGGTAAGCTGTCGCCCCTATCAAGCCAGAGTGCAAATGCCAAAGCTACTGCAAATTTGTGTTTGTATTATTATAAGTCTAATTTAGCGGAGATTCTTGTGTTCAAAAAGATGCAGTCATGTTTTCCTAACAGGTTAAGAAAATGTAGTCATCTTTGCTTAAATCAGTTTAACCTAAATTGTTATAATGAAACACACATGCTATACAGTTTGTTGCCCAGTATGCAGTCAGTACCAGTATCCAGTCGGAAAAAAAAATTCCGAATTGGATCGTTGAATAGTTGACAAATCGCAAACGGATTAATCCGACTCAAAGCCGACCATTTCCTTATTTGGATGATCATTTTGGCAGGCATCAAAACGCTTCTTTCTCTTCGTGACGACCAACATTTAATGGGTGAGTGTGTTTAAAATCATTAAAATGGTCGCTCTTTACAATGCGTTAAACAGTCCCTGTGTAAGTAAATCATTTATGTTGTAGTACATGTTCATATTGAGTGCTTGCGAACAATAAAAATGGAGACCAAAGGTCATAAATACGTAAAATCATTAATAATTCATTGTGGTAGTAATTTGCTTCTCAGGTTACATGCAATGTAAAGTAGTGCTCAATTTCTGATGTATTGTGCCATTATACAGTCAATACAAGTACAGAATTAGAAAACAGATCGGTTGCAATGTAGGCTGATTTCCTTTTAATTAGTTTTAATATTTTGTAAGGGTTTGATATATATTTCAAGGACATATAGAAAAGTGATTGGGGGGGGGGATTTTCTAAGAGGCAATATTTTTTTTGGTACACCTATAGAAGTAATATAGTTTTTCTCTCACTTGACGACTGGAAATTTTTTTAAGTGAAATTTATAGGCCTATCTTCCAAGCTATGAATTTTTTTTTGCACTATGCCTAGGAATATTTTTTTTCCTAATTTTTTTCTGGGAATATTTTTTTTTGGTTCCCCCCCCCCATCACTTTTCTAATGGTCCGTCCCTTAGCCAGCTAGATAAGTATATATTTTTTACAATTTAGGTCACTACTTTATGCAAAATAATAATCAAATGGCATCTAGCTGCTGAAAATGAATCCGAATATAGAATTATACTTCAAACACTCATTAATAATTCATAAGCTTATTGGCAAATCATGTCAACCGTAATATGTCACGTGCAGTGGCTTTAAACCTGATAAAACACTCCTAATTAGTATTCTTTATATGAAGAATACTAATAAGGCAGTATCTATTGTTGTCGTGTCCTAATTAGTAATTCTTTATATGAAGAATACTAATAAGGCAGTATCTATTGTTTGTCGTGTCCTCATTAGTATTTCTTATATAAAGAATACTAATAAGGCAGTATATCTATTGAATTTGTAGTCGTGTTTGAAGCTGTTTAATAAACTCGCAGGTCGTGTTTTATTAGGATTTGTAGTCGTGTTTGAAGCTGTTTAATAAACTCGCAGGTCGTGTTTTATTAGGTCTAAAGCCACTTGCGCTGCACGCTCGTGTCTTTAAACCTAATAAAACACTCCTGCTCGTTTATTAAACAGTACTTAATACATAGTTTTATAAACAATATATCAATTTAAACATTTTTGGATGAAGGGCTTTCAAGGCCCAATGGCAGATTGCATTTATTATCCGCACAGGGGGTTGAGGACACTGGAAAATGCAGGGGAGGAGTGTAAAAAAGGCCTTGGAAAATCCAGGGGGAAGGGGTGAAAAAGACAGTAGAAATCCAGGGGGTGGGGTGATTAGAGACCAAAATGCAGGGAATGGTCTGCGATTAAAGCCATTTTCCAGGGGTATCTGTCAATGAATTCCTTGGAAATTCCAGGGAAGGGGGTAATAAACTGAATTCCAGGCGGTTACAATTTAGCTGGTACAATGATGTCTTCAAACCACCCCCCCCCCTCCCACCCCTGTGCGAAAAATAAATACAATCTGCCAATGTGGGAGTACCCCTAGTAGCACATAATTTTTCGAGCACTTATATTTGAAGGCTTATTAGGGAGGGGGCTTATTTTTTTAAATCCATAAAATGATATGATTTTTTTTCAAGCATGACATAATGTATATTTAGCAACAGTAAATCTTTAATAATAACACACAGTTCTACAATGTATTTGTGATAATAGTGGGGGTGCATGGGCTTAATAAATGTATTTTTTCATCTAAAAAGAGGCTTATTGGAGATAGAGAATTATTTAAGAGGATGTCTATACTCTACAGTAAATATAATGATTAAGGTTGAAGTCAATTCCCTACCTTGTTCACAGGGAGAGAGGTGGGGTATGAGGCTTAATTGACTTATGCAATGTTTTTCTAAACTATTGCATAGCCACATGCCCACGATTGATCACTAATGGAATGCCAAGTGCGAACAAATACCTCTAATGTAACTGATAAATCAGAAAAATACTTGAGGGCAATGAAGGATGTGAAAGATGGAGGATTAAGCACAAGAAAGGCTGCTGAGAAATGGGGGTTAAAAAGAACAGCTCTTCTGTCCAGGATAAATGGGAAAGTGGCATACAACAGGTGCAAAGGTCCTTCACCAATTTTAACCAAATCAGAAGAAATTGCAGATTGGCTTATTGAAATGTCTAACCGTGGGTTTGGTGTTTCGAAGAGTGATCTTTTGCAAACTGTTAAGAATTTTTTAGACAAGGATAGTCGATCAACACCGTTTAAAAACAATAAACCAGGAAATAAATGGTTTGAAAGTTATATGAAGAGAAATCCCCAAGTTAAGGTTCAAAAAGCAAGACCTCTTGAAAAGAAAAAGGCAAGAATCACTCAAGAGGATGTGGATAAGTGGTTTTCAGAGTATCAAGAGTTCTTGTTAAAAAAAGATTTGATGGATCAACCAGGACAAATATGGAACTGTGATGAGACTGAATTTGACTTGAATGGTTGTGTTGGCAAAGTTATTGGTCCATCTAAGCAAAAAGAGGCACCATATCACGTAATGTCTGGTAATAGGGAGTGTATTACTATGCTTCTTTGTTTCAACGCCAGTGGACAATGGATGCCTCCTTACTTTATATTTCCAGGAAAACGAATTCCAGTTACTTATAATCCTTTGGAAGGAGGAGTAGATGGCAGCGTTTTTTCCATGACCGAGTCAGGTTACATGAACACTCAAACATTCTATATGTTGCTGGCAAACCACTTTATCCCAAACTTGCCACCAAAAAGACCGGTTCTTCTTCTTGTCGATAGTCATGACTCTCACCTTGATTTGGCTACCTTTGAACTTGTAGAAAAAAAGGTATATATTTATATGCTTTATTAAAGAATGCAACACATATTGTGCAGCCTGCTGATGTGGGGTTATTTGGCAGTATGAAATGAAGCTGGCACAAATCAATAAGAGAATATACACAGCAAAATCCCAATGCAGATATTACTAAGAAGAACTTCTGTTCTGTTTTAAAGTCTACGTTGGAAGATGTCATGCGCCCTTCTATCCTTACAGCTGCATTCCTTAATTAAATCTGGCATTTATCCACTTGATAAAAGCGAAGTTTCAAAAGGGTTATTGGGTCCATCCAATCAATCTTTTGATGCCAACCAGCGGGTTGACAAAGATAGCACCTCTCCTTCACTGCAAGCATTTGAAGCACTAGATGCTGCACTTTCAACTCCATCACAGGCTAAGTACAGACATAGAATTGAGGAAGGATGCGACTTGAACGGAAGTCCCACATTTAGCGCTTGGAATAAGCTATACAAGTCAACGAACCCATCACATGTTCATCATGATGGTAAAGGAGAAACTTCTCAGAGAGAATCAGAGACTTCTCAAGGGTCACAGCATGCAGAGAAAGCGCAGAAACCTTAAAAGAACTTGTCTAACATTTAGTAATGACACAGAAAGCATTGATGAGAATATCTGTAGTATGTGCTCAGAGGAATATTTGCCCATCGATGATGAAAACAATCCTTGGGTTATGTGTGATTCATGCAATCTCTGGATGCACATAGAATGCATTCCCATGGAATTTGATGTTGACGTTTTTCACTCAGAAGAACTGTTCTATTGCCATCAGTGTAACTTTTGAGAACATTTATTGATGGCGTTGTGTTTATTTTAATATGTACATTCCACATGTCTAGTTCATATGAAAATTATGTATGAACATAATTATGTATGAACGAAGTATATGCTAAACTTTTAATTCTTACACATATATGTATAAAACTGTTCGTCTTGGGTGGTTCAGAGTCGGCTTCAGCATACAAAAAGCTCTCTGAGTTGTTGGATAACATGCAAGCCTGTAAAATAGGAATTGAAAGTAGTGGCGACTGAAAGGCCTTTGCTGAAAACGTTGAGAACTATTTTCCTATTTTACAGACTTGCCTGTTATCCAACAACTCAGAGATCTTTGTGTATAAAACTGGTATTTTTTAAACCCGTTTGGTAAGATATTCGGCCTTTGTGTGACGATTCAGAAACAAACTATTTGTCCAATTCGAAAATCCTTGTCAGTGCATGTCTATATATAGCTAGTACTGTTCTCTATCTGCAATAGGATGAGACTCGTCATTGTCAGCAATGCTGTGATTAAAGGTTATCACAAATTCCAAATAAGACCACCTCAAAATATTTTACTACCTGTCACTAAAGAATGTGGAAATTGTCATGATCCACATTCATGTTTGGTGTGGATCCCCGAGATTGATAAAATTCCAAAAGATTTATGGAATCATGTAACAGATGAAACATGTGGAGAAAGAGTTCGGACAATTGCAGGGCTACCCATTGGACGAGTGCCCAGGGGGCTTTCTGAATGTTTTTGGATCATACTGGAAAACTCCAAAGTTGACTGAATTGAGTGGTATATCGCAATTACATGTTTTTGATGAATGAAATAAGAGAATGGTTTAAGTAATAAAGGTGCAATGTGCACCACCGCCCTGGTCCACCCTTTGTTACTTTGTCTAACGCCAAGACAATTTTACTTGTCAAGAGAAAATAATTGCACGTTAAGAGGTTAAATGTACACTAAGTCATTAATATACAATATGTTTGTTTCAGTGAACAGACAGGGAATCCTTGCAAAAGTTTTAATCCTTGGCCACCTCAACATGTACCAGGAGGAGCAGTCATTCCATGCTTGTACAGAATACAACTGAAAGATTCCAATGTCTGTGATGACATACTTAAACTGGCTAATGAAGCTGTTCAAAAAATGGAAGAAAAAACTGTATTGCAAATAAATTTGTACTGAAAAATGTTTTGTTATTGTTTACATTGACCTCTTTCCATGTTAGCAATACAAATAGGTGCAAGGGCTAGTCCAAATGATTTATACCTAAAACCTGTCCATTAAAAGGTGTGTTTTTTGGTGTCATGACAAGTGGAATATTATCTCTGTAACCAAGTGATGGAGATATATCTTTGGGAAGGATCGTGACAGGCAAACATACTAACATTCGTGTGTTTTCCCCCTTAAAACATGCCTAATAGAGGAGACCTGTTATTGGAATATGTGGCCGCATACTGGGCAGAGAATGGACATATAATAATTTTAAATATCTCCACAAGGTAAAGGACAGAATTCCCAGTCCTTCTATATTTTATTATGAAATAAATTTGCATGCTGCTGAGGCAGTTTGAGATAGTTGACGTGGATTGCAACTGATTTACAGCGGACTAAATATGAACTGACCGCATACTGGGCAACAAACTGTAATGCATGAATCATTGCATATGATATTGCAGTTACAGCTCTATACAGTAGGCTCTATACACGTCACGTGATACATGGTCATGGCGTCTTTCGCTGGTTCAAACCAGTGAACTCTAATAAGACTGGAGTGGCTGCCATCTTTGAAGCCAAATTGAAGGCCGCCATTGGAGGTACAGCGGTGAAAATACACCTCTTCAAAAAACTCGGGTTTCTGCCTTTCTAGCTATGCTAGAACATAGATAAAAAACTTAAAAAACATCTACGATACTTGGACTATTGCACAAATCATGTTTGGAAGCCGCAGAAAAGAGTTAACGTTATTTTTTGTGTACCTGAAAGTCATATTTTGTTCGGCACGGAAAATATTTTGTTATTTTCTTGAATACAAAAATGGTTCCTTTCAAGATTTTGCTGTTAGCAGATGTAGAATACTTAGAACTATCCAGAAAACCAAGTTTGAATCTTTGAAATTGAAATCTTCGGATGAAAAACCTAATTGTTTTGCGTATTTTTGCTAAAAAAACAAAATTACAAGTCAAAATTGCAATTTTTTGAAAGTCACAGCATGCAAACTTCTCCCGGGCGCCAAATCGCAAATCACGGGGGTTTCTAGAGAAAAATCGATTTATTCATGTTTTATAGATGTAAAAAAGCACTCAAAATAAACAACTATACCTAGACTTTAATACAAGAAAGGTATTGGTCCGTAGATTTATGTTTCAAAGTATTTTTTTTTAGTTAAAGAGCAAAGTTCACTTTGGCACGTTCAACTAGTGTCGTTTTTACAAAAGAAACCTGATACCCTTCAAACTTTCACTGTTGTGAGATACAAAGCAGTTCTAACTATCAAGTAAATCGTATTTGGGTTTTTAAAATTGAAGTCTTTTGATGAAAACCGACTTTTCTTGCTAATTTTCGTCGAAAATAAACTTTGACTGAATTTCCCACTCCTCGAAACTCTCCTTAGTCCTTTTAAAAATGCAATTTCCTTGCACGGTTGGCTTCAGGCAAGTATGGGCATGTTTACCTGAGTTATTGTTCCAGTCTTATTAGAGTTCACTGGTTCAAACTTTCACTTTCATAAACTCGTATGTCATTCGTTCTGCTATGGCCGATGGCATTTAACAGTTTTACAAATTAATATTTCATCCATATTTTAATCAAATCTACATTTAGCATAATTTATCATGATTTAGCATAATTTTCTCAGCTATTTAGCATAATCGAATTTTATAATCTGGTCACACTGATTGGGCCTGCCAAAAATTGGCACACGAAGTGCAAGAATGGAGGGAGAGACAGACTTTGGCTCACTTGCAATGTTTTGAATCAGATTATTATTTTGGCTGGAAATTATATTAATAGACAGGTGTTATTTTTAGCGGTTTTGTTACAAATATGGAAGCCTGCAAGAGTCAGGGCAAAATGATTAAAACACCCCTCGCAATCTAAACAAAATAGTCTAGCATTCAAAAAATTAAAATACAAAGGTCACTGCAAAATAAAGCTAACTTAGGGAAAATACATCCACATTTATTCATCACTGACATTGTGACCGATTTTGAGATACTAAAACCTCATTCAAACAGATTTGCCATTGTGATATCATATTAACAAATTATCAAATATTTTAATGTTAATAAAAATACGTCTTTTATATAACTATAAGCCTTATATTTAAACAATTGTTTTATTAAATTGTATCTATAGACTGTTGTGGTTAATTATATTATGACTATTTGCACAAAACTTGTTAATCATAAACGGATAGTTCATAAATTAATAGTGATAATTTATTTGCATTTCCTGTTGCATAGTGTGTGTTTCATGCAAGAAGGAATATTGTGGGAGTCATTCTTGCAAAGTTTGCAAGAAAGCCTGCCATGCTATTCCACCTTGTGCAAAAGTGAATGAGGATTATGATGGTTTTGGTGCAGCAGTGCTCTGTGCTAGTTGTGCAGCAACTAAAGGAGAGGCTCCACCAAAGAGAAAGACATCGGAGAAAGGTAAAGAGATTATCATATCGGTATCACAGTACTATACGTAGCTATAAAGTCATTGACTCATCATGGTCTTCTATATTTATCAAGAAACGTTTTTACTATATTTACTCTAGAAACCAATTGGTTTGAAAAACTGGGAAAACAGTCCGGGAAGTTGGCGGCATCAGTGGCCAAGTGAGCAAAAGGTGGTCATGGCAAAACACCAATGGGGTTTTGTCTGCTTTGTTTCCGTGGGGGGAACAGAGGATTTTTTTGGCCAGAGGAAATCCATCCACTCTTTCTAGCCACCTTTCCAAAGTGTATGAAAGCCAATGATGCTGTGCCCAAAAGTTCACCTCTTGCTGCAGAGGCAATGAAGTTCATCTGCAAGTTCATCTACGTAGGTGAAACTCAAAACCTAACAGTTCTGTCCTACTTATATTTGTGTGCAGTATACATGTATTTGGAAAGTTCAAAGTTAAGTTATTGAGTACTGAAGTACATGTATACTCAATAAAATAAGCTTTGGACACTTGTGTTGTTTGTAAATGCATATGTGATATGTTACAGTAGGTCAGTTTGAATCCTCCCATTTTGTGCTATAAACTGTTGCACTTGAACTCTCACTGTAGTACGAATCAAGAGAAGAGGTAGTGTGACTAGTGTCCAATTGGAACCGCCTCAAACACAAGAGACCACCTGTATGGATTTGGATGTTGATAGTGATTTAACTATGGTGTATGTACTGTATAATATATATAAAATCACACTAGAGTTAATTAAACCATATACTGTACATATACATTATGAACTGATCGGCAATAAACTAAAATGGTAAATTTCAAATTTTGTGCTATAGTGAAGTTATAGAACAGTTTGAGTGTCAACGTGCAGATAAAGTGGTCAGCGTCAGTAATAGCCAGGAGGTCCAAGATGATGCACCATTGGAAAAGGATAGCAACAAAAAAGGAGAAAGGTTTGTCACTTTATATTCTTACAAATTCACTCTTTAACTGTATTCTTGTTGTTCAACTTAAGGACAAAGAAACGGTATTCGTATATTATAGTGTATGCCTGATATGGTACAAGAAAGGGTATGATGGTCACATGAAAATAGCCTGCAACTAATTTAACAAATATAACATAAAACATGCTGTGAGTGATTGATGGCAACCTTGTATTGATTGAAGAGGGTCCTGAAGGGGGGTCCCAATCCCATTTCCCACCTGAAATTTTGGCAAAATCCCAGTCCCAGTTGGATTTTTATTAGAAATCCCAGTCCGAGTTATTGAAATCCCAGTCAATAAAAAACCCTTTATTTATTGGTCCAATAAACAGTTTGAAGACTTTTAAGCCATCGTGTGTGCAAGTGGGTACACTTTATGAAATTTGGGGGAGGGGTTGTGCCGAAGACACGGAAATTTTTAAATTTGAATCCCGGAAATGGCATTTGCAGCATTCTGAGACACGCATAATCAGAAAACCCAGAATTCCGGGTGTCAGAGTATGCCTGTTCGCAGGTAGTGCTGTGAATAATATAGTTAACAACAAAAATCATGACCAAAGACACCAAAAACGGGTCAAAATTGTATTTTAAAATACTTAAAACGTAGAAAAATTGGGAATCGACTCGCATTACCTCAATCCCATTCCCATTTTTGAGGACTTCATTTCCCATTCCCAGTGGCCAAATCCCAGCCCAGCAATCCAAATCCCATTTTCCCAGTCTAAAAATAGATCAATCCCAGTTCCCATTTTACCCCTTCAGGACCCTCATTGAAGTGTTTTTCCTTGTAGTTCTGCTGCTTCACAGCCAAGTGAGCCAACCGTAATGCCACTAACGTACGTTTTTCATATAAGTATGATGTATTTGTGAACTTAGTGTCGTTTTGAATACAAAACTAAGCATCTAGGTTCTGGGATGCCAATATACATAAAAAAATCACGATTGTCGATTTTATGACTGAATGCTTCCAATGTTGTTGCTGACTTGGCTGCAACCGAATATACTCACTTAATAATAGTTTACCTTTAACAGTATGTCCTAGCTGAAACACTGTTTTCTTGCTTCTGTAATATGCATGAGTTAATATGCGTAGTGACATGAAGTAGTGTACATGAGATATAGACCGTGGGCTCAGGGAAGTCGTCGTTGTTGATCAGTGTTTTAGATATAAACCTGCAAAAAGAAATATAGATTAAAGGAGTGTTTATACGTCATTGTATATTACATTTTCGTGCCGTGACCGGGATGGCTACTAGAGGTACAAGTGTCGCATTACCGGAGTTATTTTCTGACGGTGCTATTACTCTTTGGCTGCGAAAATCCGACTTATGTTCTACAGCTAATGGTTGGAAGATGATATGCTTAAGAGATTACCCGCGCTTTTGTTACCAGTGTGGCAAGATGGGGCACATCGCAAGTGAATGCAGGGGCAATGGAAGCAGTAACCAACAAGCTAGTTATCGCCAACACCAGGGTGAGAACTATTGTTTTGTATGTGGAGAAATGGGCCACTTTGTCCGGGAATGTTCATTTCGCTTTCAAACTCCGAAGACAGGTTGTTACCCCCCTCTGGGAAACGGGGTGGGGCAGCACCTTTTCTAGGCCCAGGAACTGCCCCCAACCACAAGGCCTTACCTATAAATTGCATTCAACCAACTGTGATCTTCATTAAGGCACAAGCAGATAATACTGAACCAAGGTGTTTGGTGAACACTGGGGCATCTGTGTCCCTAATTAGAAGAGAATTTGTTGTTGGACCTATGAGACCTTGTTCTCTAAAGGCACAGGGTATAAGTGGAGAACAATTATAAGTGTTGGGAATGAAGGAGCTCTCAGTAAACATTAACAATGTTCAGGTGAATCATCCCAAAAGTAATTTCAAAAACCTTGATAAAATTAATCAAGAGAGCAAACTCTGTGTTATTATGGGTGATTTTAATATGAATTTATTAAATATAGATTCCCATCAACCAACTGAGGAATTTCTTAATACACTGGGCACTTTTATTTTTTTACTCCTCATATTCTTCAGCCTACTCGGATGACTGATCACTCTGCTACATTAATTGACAACATATTTTTCAACTCTATTAGTCATCATATAATTAGTGGTAATTTAATATATGATTTGACTGACCATCTACCAAATTTCCTAATAATTAATAAATTTACTACACTTCCTGGATTATTCCAACCATGATGAATGCAAGCTCATTAATGATCTTGAAATGATAGACTGGCATGTTGAACTTCCTGAAACTGATGATGTTAATACTATCTTTGGCTCTTTTTATTCCAAACTATCTAATATTATTAACAAACATACTCCACTAAAACTGATCAGTAGAAAGAAAATAAAGCATATGTCGAAACCTTGGATAACTAGTGCCATACGTTTCTCTCTTAATGTCAAGAATAAATTGTATAAAAAATATATAACAACTAGAACAAGCTATGCTCACAATAAATTTAAAATATATCGCAACAAATTAAAAAGACTAATACTAATTAGCAAGAAACAGTATTACAGTGAATACTTTAGGTCTAATATGAGAAGTATGAAAACTATCTGGAAAGGAATAAAACAGATCATCAGTTCTAAACCCTCAAGCTGTAATCCTCCCTCAAAGATTGTTCAAGATGGTTGTGAATTGACTGATACTGCATCAATTGCAAATGCTTTTAATAATTTTTTCATTGGTATTGGTGAGAAATTAGCTAGTCCAGTTCCATCTGTGGATAAATCACCATTGTCTTTCATGCCATCTAACCAGCCACATAGTATGTTTCTTTATCCCATTACACAAAGTGAAATTGAAAATGAAATATATGCTTTAAATCCTAGTAAAGCAGTGGGACCTTACAGTATTCCAGTTCATATATTAAAAAGATTGAAATATTTGATGTTGACGCCTTTAGAAATATTATATAATCTATCAATTTCGACAGGTATAGTTCCTGACAGATTTAAAATTGCAAGGGTTTTAGCTGTCTACAAAAAAGAATCACATATGAATCTATCAAATTATCGACCTATATCATTACTTTCTGTTTTTAATAGAATCCTAGAAAGATTGATTTAGTGTAGACTTATAAATTACATTGATAAGAATAAATTATTGTACAACAGACAATTGGGATTTCTTGCCAAGCACTCCACTTCCCTGGCTATTTTATCCATTACTGACAAAATACAAAAAGCTATTGAAGATAATGTTTACTCTTGTGGAATCTTTCTACAATCCTGGTCAGAAATCCTTGGCACACTTAGACGAAATAGCTTAACATTTATTTCATTTCTGATTACCATATACATACTTGTGCATTTTATGCAAAATTTCATGTTCAGACATCCCCCTATCCCCCCAATCAATGTTGTGTAACACCTTGGACGTCTAACACACAACATTGAACGGGGGAAAGGGGGGTTGCTATGCTTGTTATTGAAATGGGAGTCAAATTTCGCACAGTCAGTGTCAAGTGCGCCAAAATTTTTGACCAGGATTGTCCGAATATAAAAATGAAACTAAAATTTATATACATATACAATTTTGACTCAGAATGTACCGAAGCATTAGTAACATGTTTTCAACGTATATTGGGTGGCGTGTTCTAGATTATTTCGTTGGGAGTTATTGAAAACGGCCTAGCGTGCACGTCATAATTTTGATAATTATGACGTCATATGTGGGGTGTGTTACTATGAATCATGAGAATCCCGTATATATAAAATGAGGCAGGCTACAAAATAAATTTGAATAATATGCACTTTTATAATTAGATTCATTTAAGGATGGTTTACACAAGAAAAATCACAGCAAAGACAAGGGCTTTGGTACTTTATTATAGAAAGGAATCGGGTTTTTCGAATAGGGAGATCGCGAGAAAATGTCATATAAGCCCATCATCAGTAGCAAGAATATGGAGGGAAGACCAACAACCAGTTGCGCTGCGATCTAAATAGTTAAAAGGCAACAAGGTTGCCCAAGAAAAGTTGACGCGCGATCTGTTAGAAAATTAATAAGATGCCTGAAAAAGTCGAGGAAGGAAAATCCGAACGTAACTGTTAAAACACTCGTAAGGGAAAGTGGCCTCACGTTACAAATGGCAAGTCGGCGCACATTTTCGCGTAGATTGAACGAGAAAGGTTATGGGTTTTATCAGGTACGCAAAAAGGGTTTAGTGACAGAAAGAGACAAAATATTACGTATGAAATATTCAAGACAAATGAAGCGTTACATGAACCAAAATAAGAGTTTTTGGAAAAATGAAGTAGCGTTTTACTTGGATGGTGTTTCTTTTGTTTTCAAACATAATCCGTTGAACAGTGCGATTGCCCCCAAAGCAAGGGTTTGGAGAAAAATGTCAGAAGGGCTATTGGTGACAGGGAAAGGTTCTAAAGAATTAGCTGGTGGAAAGAGACTGCACGTAATTGTCGCTATAGCTTACGGGAAAGGTGTGGTTCTCAAAGTTCCCTATGAGAAAATGAATGCCAATTTCTTTGCAGAGTTCATTGCAAAGCATTTTAATACTTGTTTTGCAAAGTGCGGACGTAAAAAGAACGGTCAACGCCTGTTTCTCATGGATAATGACCCATCACAAACGAGTAAAGCAGCGCGAAAAGCAATGGAAAAAGTCGAGGCTGAATTTCACAAGATTCCAGCTAGATCGCCTGACCTGAATCTAATTGAAAATGTCCTTGTGATTTTATAGAGATATCTCTAGAAATGATGATTTTAGAAAGCGTTATATCTGTACCTTCTCAAAGTTGTAGACAAGATATATATGTTGTTTACGTCCAACACGCATAAGATTGCATAAATCAAAATGATTCGAGCAAAACCGATCTTTTGTTAAAAGGAATAATGGTTAATAGAAACTGGTCTTTCGAGTGACATAATCGTGTATCGTCGTCGATCTGTATCGTTGAACAATGAAAAAATTTGTTGTGAAATTAGTGAAGATAAAATAGCATTTTGTGAAAAAACTGCGGGTCTACGGAGTGGGAACTTTTCAGATTTGAACTCAGCATGTTCGAAAGTGTTAGTTCCCGTAAAAATATTTCAGATCTAAGACATGCGTCATGAAAGTGAACGATATCGGGTCACAACATGCGGACTAAGGTCTATAAATGATAAATAGAAAATGCCCTGTGTTCCACTATAATGCGCTCTTCTTCATTCTTCACATTATTCAAATTAACCAGCCTGCCCAAACAATTGAGATGATTCACCTGGTCATTAAATTAAATTTAACAGTGGCGATAGGACCACCAAAATGTGCCCTGAAGTTCGCATTATTGTGTCAAACATGACTGGTAATCTCTGGTAAACAAGAGATTTACCACTACCAGTTGGCAGATTAACAAAAACTTCCTTATCTTCCAGAATGAATTTCTATTTGCTAACTTCTGATATTTATTTAATTCTGTAATATTAAAGTGCCTATGAAATGAAATTTTTTATTCGCTATTCCTATAGCGTTGAATGTACAAAAGACGATTTTAAAAATGCAAGCTCTAAAAATGAATTAAACAGAAGTTATCGAGGGTTAAACATGCCGATTTTGGCTTCAAAAAGTGGTTCTGTCTGTGCGCGGCCAAAAGGCATCAAATTACTTCCTGTGACGTAAAGAGCAGGGCACGCTCAATAACATAAGCTGTATTAAGCTCTGTCTTGTATATAAATGATCACGCAAGCCTATAAAAGATAAACGAAATCTCGACGTTCCGAGCTCTGCCTTACCCTACTAACTCCACGTGACGAAGGAAGGGCCTTCGCTCGAAATGTCGAGAAGTGATTTCGTTTAACTGTTATAATTTATAGGCCTGCGTGATCGTTAATACAAGATATTGATTATACTACGCATCCTCGCCGCAGCCGACACTGAATAATCCAAGCAAAGATTTCATTTACATATTAGGCGTGCAAATATGGAGGAAACGTCTCATTCATGTGAAATGAGGGGGGGAAATTCTAAGTGTTTTGTGTTCCTGGAGGGCCAAATAAGAAGCCATGCACAAATAGTGGCGACACACCAGCATGTTTAATAGCATGCATTGTTTCCGAAAGATTTCTGTCTGTTGCTTGGCTATAATGAATGACAGCTCCACCTACGAAGGCAATGGGTTCGTTTTGTTCGAAGACATTGATCTGACTTCGACCCTGAAACGTCTTCTTCAAGAATATGGTTGTGCTCGGCACATTTTGACGAGAACTATTTTGACGAGAACTATTGTGACGAGAGCTATTTTAATGAGAGCTCTAGAGCAATTTACAAGGTTTCGATAGCAGTTACACCGAACGCTTCTTGAGCTCAGTTCCAACGATTGACATTGTTGAAACGTAGAAGATGTCATTGCCATAGCGATTGTACGAGAAGTAAAGAGGCCGCCAACTTATGGTAAATAGGTAAATAATAATTTGCATTTGCATAAATAGACCTTATGGGTTAATACGTAGGCATGCTAATAAGGTCAATTGAAAGAGCATAGTTGTTTACATATTCCACCAGGTGACTGGGGCATATTATTTTATCTTTCTGCACAACCAATATTTCATTCATATCATATGCAGGTGTTCTTTGTTTTAAAGGTTGGTGGGGGGATTGGTATTAGAGGGCAATGGTGTTTTTGGTACAATATGGTTAACAAATTGTCTACGTTTCATATAGAGTGTGTCAACTGCAATACTGCATAGGAGAAATTATGTTTACTGCATGTTGATAGCACAACATTGGAAGAGATTGGCAAGCAATATCAGTCTTTGCAACTGAAATCCTTGACCAGTCTGTTTACAGAACGTTTAATAGCGAAGGCAGAAGCGGTTGAGAAATATTTAAAATTACTTATATTTAAAATTATTCACAGGGTTAAAAGTTAGTATTAAAAGGGGAAATAGCAGACTATGTAATGTACCAAAATGCAAGACCAGCCAAACCTTTGAACTTCACCATATAAATCTCAGTGTATAAAACACAGTTTGTGTTTCATTACTGTATTAGCCTATTATAGTACTTTGACATCATTAATCATTATTGTGTTTGAGTAGAGCAATGCAGTAACTTTAAGATGTTATAATCCACCCTTCAGGCTGGCCTTTGTGTGTTTTGAAGGCATATCGGAAACGTATCATTATAGTTGTTCGATATAAATAAACGTGGCTATATTACTGTATTATTAAACTATTAAAAACTATCGACATTTGGAAAGTGTTTTTTGTCGAAATATAAAACGTAAAAATTGCAGTAATTCTAGAACTTTGACAGCATGAAATGACCACAATAACTCTTTTGTAAGGAGTTCCTGAACGTCATTTATAGCTTTGCCCTTTTGGTCTCTCAATAAAGGGCCGACTTGAGCCAGCACAGCCTCGTTCGTTGTGGCCTTGTAGTCTTGCAATGTCAAACATGAAATTTTCTCCGGCGATGCTCCCGTCGATTGTTAGTTTCCCAAGCGCTTCAACAATTTCATGGCAACATCGGTATTCACATGCATCAACCAAGTTTTGATCCGAGCACTTGCCACATTTACACCTATATCAAATTGAAGCAGCGAGTTGAATCGAGTGTTTTTGTCAAATTTAATGATTTAAAACTGAAGTTCAAATGTATCAAACTGAAAAAAGCTACCTACCAAGAATCAACTTTATTCTTTCGGTTATATCTAGCCTCTAGAATGGCCGGCGTCAATCCATCCAGATCAGCTTCCTTGGTCGTTTCTTCACTTATATCGTCCATTATATCGTCTCCCTGAGGATTTAATGTTTCACCTTCACACAGCATATATATACAGCGCCAAAAACATACTTGAATCGCTTGAATCCGAAAGAGCAACAGAAATATCACTACAGTCGACGACATTGTGCTATATTGTTTGTATTGTGTTGACTCGTGTTAATTTCTCGTGCCCTGCTAATTACGTCATGCGTATTCGATTCGTTCCCAGTCTCCGGACCACTTTTTCAAGATAAAAACGTTACAAAAGCTTGCAAAACTACTGTTTGCTCTTAAAATTTGACATTTTTAGTGTCAAATTTGAAATCTCTGTTGCCAAAAGTACCAATTACTGAAATAAAAAATTTCATTTCATAGGCACTTTAAACTTTAATGACATATTTTGTAACAGGCCTCATTTTGTAATGCTGATACAATGTCTGCCATTTTGTTTTTGTCTCTTGCCAGTTGTTTGCTGAGTCAGCATGTTTTTTAGAAGCAAGCTTTTGATTGGTTTATGAATCAGAATGGATTGTTGTACTCTTGAAAGCAGCCTGTGAGTGGGGAGAAAACATTGCACCCAAAAACAGGCTGTAAAGGAGACTAGGCCTAGTTGAGAAGTAGTCTTTTATGAAAAAGGTTAGGCAGGTCACTACTTATTAAATCAAAAGAATAGTTTCAGCCATGTCAGGGTAAGGCACATTTTGAGCTAGGGATATTGCATATCTAGCATTTTTTTATCATTTTTAGCATATTTGGCAAACTTATAAGTTTTATATCCATTGCTTCTCGGAGATGCACACACTGATTTTTACACTTTTCATCAGAAGATTCTCCACTTCTGGTGAAAACTAAAATTCAGACCTTCCAACTCACCCGGTTTTATCGGGTGTCGCCCGATTTTTAAACAAATCTCCAGATCACCCAATTTACGATCACTTTCACCTGATTTTTATTTATCAATGGGGTTTTCCTGCCGGTTTTTAAACATTTTGTTTACAACAACAACAACAACAACAACAATTTATTTCGCACCACCAAGTAAAATAACATTATATGTTTTTTTTTAAATATAAATATTATGGCACAGGTCACCAGAAATAGTGAAGACTAAACCAGTCTAGTGACCTTTTATAAAATAAATGAAATAATGAGTTTTATATCATTTTGTATAATTATAAAAGTATATATTCATGAATACTTGTGGCAGCGCTAGCTATTAAAAGATGATTTGCTAAGAGTTTTATATTTATCATCAATATCATTCCATACTTTAGGACCCTGAAATCGAAGACTGAATTTGCCATAGTTAGTTCTTATTTTGTCAATATAATATGTACTTCTAGAAGCCAATCTGGTATTATAATTATGTACTGATGTGACCTGTTTGAATATGTTATTAAATGTAGCAGGAAGATTCCCGTTATGATAATCATACATGAATAAAGCGTTGTTTAGAAAAACAAGATCAACGAGCTTCAAAATATTAAGATTTTTAAATAAAGGACTAGAATGATCGGCAAATTTAGAAAAGGTAATAATTCGGACTACTCTTTTTTGTAAGGTTATTATTGGATTAAGATTTGAAATATAGGTGTTTCCCACAACGTTATTCCATATGTCAAATATGGGTAAATTAAGGAATAATAAAATTGTGTAATTACATGTGAGGTAACAAAATGGCGAATTTTCCACAACATTCCAATACTTCAATTGATTTTTTTCGAAATATGTTGAATATGACTTTTCCAATTAAGATTACAGTCTATATAGATTCCTAAATACTTGAGACTAGTTTCTTGTTTAATTTGTACTTGATTAATAAATATTTTTATTGTGGATGTAATTTTCTTTTGAGGTGGATGAAAAATAACAAAATTTGTCTTATCAATGTTAAGGGAAAGTTTATTACAGTTAAGCCAGGAATTAATATTTACAATATTATCATTAATAACTTGCTCCATGTCCAAAACACTCTTGTTTGTACAAAACAGATTAGAATCGTCAGCAAAAAGGTGAAAATCGAAAACCTTTGAACTATTATTGAAATCATTCATATACAGAAGAAACAACAGTGGGCCGAGTACAGATCCTTGTGGGACACCACAAGGGACAACAAGCTCGTCGGATACTGAACTTCCTATGGATACAAATTGTTTTCGATTTTCTAAGTATGAAATAAACCAATCTTTTGTTATTCCCCTTATACCATAATGCTCAAGTTTAGTTATTAATATTTGGTGGTTAACAGTATCAAAAGCTTTACTTAGATCCAAAAAAAATCCACAAGAAAACAAACCATCCTCAATTGCTCTTTGGATTTTATCGGTAATCGATATGACTGCTTGTACTGTAGAGTGCTTTGACCTGAATCCAAATGGTCCCTTATAAAGAATTTCTCTTCTTTCAATATAGTTAGTTAACCTTTTACACATCAATTTTTCTAATAATTTATTAAAAATTGATAACAGGGAGATTGGACGATAATTGTTGACACAAGTTTGAGAACCTTTTTTAAATATAGGAATTACACGTGCTGACTTGAAGCTTTCAGGCACTACTCCAGTTACAAATGAATGATTAAAGAGTACTTCTAATGGTTTTGATAAATATGTACTAAGTATTTTAAGTAACTTAATTGGTATACTGAATGGCCCGGTAGCTTTTGTAGGATTTAGTTTGATAATTTCCTGTTCTATCTCGTATCTTGTAACGGGACTGAGAAAGAAACTAGAAGTTTGTGGAGGGTTCATGTAACTTAATGGTGGGACATTTGTACTTGGAATTGAACTGGCAAGGCGATTACCTATATTAGAAAAATATTCATTAAATGTTTTGGCAATTTCTTGAGCATCTACAATTTCTTTACTGTTTCTAATCAATTTAGAGGGTGCGTTTGAATGTTTTGGTTTGAGTGTAATTAAGTCTTTTATGCCTCTCCAAATAGCTTTAACATCTTTACTATGTTTTATAAAATAACTATTAAAATATTTCTCCTTACTAACTCTTAATAGATTAGTTAATTTATTTCTGTATGATTTATAATTATGGCTGTAATCAGGGCTTTTATTATTTAGGTATTTTTTAAATAACTTATTCTTAGTTTTAATAGAAATCTTAATACCAGGTGTAATCCAAGGTTTAGAATAAAACTTAATTTGTTTTTTGCTAAGCTTCTTAACAGGGACATGCTTGTCTATAATATCTGCAATTGTAGAATAAAACCTGTCAAAAATAATATTAACATCACAGTCATGAGGGAAAATAGTTTCCCAATTGACAGACTGTATTTCATCAATTAAAGCGGTCTCATCTAAATTTGAATAATCTCTTTTATAAATTTTGAAATTTTTGGCAATGCATTTAGTTGATTAATAATAAGAAAGTTGGGAAGATGATCAGATATATCAGAAAGTATATTGCCGCTTATAGTATGATACTTAATAGAATTTAAAAATATATTGTCAATAAGTATTGCTGTGTGATTTGTTATTCGTGTGGGTTTATGAATATGTGGAGTATAAAAATAAGAGCTCAAAGTGTTTACAAAATCCTCAGTCGGAGTATGGGCAGAATAGTTGAGAAGATTTATGTTAAAATCGCCCAGGATGACACAAGTTTTATTTTCTTGCTGAATTTTGTCGAGACATGAGTATAGATAGTTTGTGAATGCTTCTAATTTGACTCTAGGATGCCTATACAAAACACCGCAAGTTAATTTTTGATTTAGTATTTCAATATCAACCCACAAGCCTTGAAATTCATCCTTTGATACGCCTAGGTCATCTCTAATATTATAATTTATGGTTTCCATTATATAAAAGCCCACACCGCCAGCATTTGTAGGAGTAGGTTGTGATACAAAGTTATATCCTGTTAACTCAACGTTAACTAAACAATCCTTGTCAGTCTTTATTTTAGTTTCAGACAATCCTATTATTGAGAATGGAAATTGAAGCTCGTCAAGCATAACAGAAAGTTTATCATAATTAGCTGCTAGACTTCTTATATTGCCATGCATGAATGAAATTGAATTGTTCATTTTTAAATTCTGAATTTCTAAACAAGTTTGAAATTCCCGAGTAGAATAGTAATCAAAATTAGTACGAATTGGTAATTGAGAATCAATATCTGCGTCCGAAAGGCGTGGAGTGCGATCAAAAGTTGATAAGATATCTAAATGGGGTAGAGATTCAAGTCTTGAGTCCTTGCCATTAGGATAATCTGTATATTTAAAGGTAGACAAGCTTTCGATACCGTCAACAATCTCCTCGGGTGTAATGTAGTTAGCCATTTGGTGCTACTATGAGGGTTGGGATTCTTAGCATTATCATAACAATTTTTAAATAAAAGCGGAAAACACACACATAAAATTGCAGAACAAACAAACACAAGGTATAGCTAAACATTACGAATAACTTGTAAGTATACCTAGCCAGACAGAATCTGTGAAAAGGTGTAGTAAACATGCAACCTTTCACTTCAAAGTAAGGTCAAAAAAGAAACGAACACGACAATTTACCCTGCCACAAGCAATCAAGAAAAAAGACATTTAGGTATATATATATTACGAAATCTGAGTTTGTTCAAAGTATAAGGTAAATTCTTATGAGCATAAATTCAGCCATAATTATTTATATCAACTATGTACGTATATTTTACTTATGACTTATGAAGTTTCAAAACGTTCAATCAAAACAGATTCACTGTCAATTAATGAGTGAAGATAACTTTGTCAAATCCTTATGGTTTTCAAGAAAAACTTTAGTTTGACTACCTGAGAGTAGGGCAATGACTTTACCATCTGCTGTCCACGCTGCTTTTACCTCAGGATGATTCGAGACTGTTGTGTACAATTCAAGGCGTTTCTTCGTCAAACTTTCTGTTATCCCGATGCCGGATGCCTTTAGATTACGCTTTCGGCTGAATACTTCAGATTTAGTATTGTGACGATTAAATTTTACAATAATAGGCTTTGGTCTTGAGTTAGCTATTTGCGGAGACTTCCTTCTCAGTCTGTGAGATCTATCTAAGTCCGACACTTGAATCTTCACCCCAAGTTTGTCGTTGACTATCTTAATTATTTCAGCATCTGTATTTTCGGTCACATCTTTTGGTGGTTCTGGAACGCCATGAAAAATTAAGCAATTCCTTCTCCCATATTGTTCCAAGTCGTCATGGGCCATTTGTAGATTGTCGTACGATTTCTTTAACTGTGCGCAATTATTTTCCAAATCAGTGATTTTTGCTCGAAGGTCGGTATTATCAAACGACAGACTTTCGTAAAGCTCTTGCTTTATTTTAGTTGTATGCTTTTCGTTTTGAGAAATCTTATCAGCTATTTTAGCAATAAAGCTTTCGTTCACACACATAGTGTCGATAATTGCGGACGATACAGCTTCAGCAATGCATTTAAGGAAGTCGCCATCGCCTAGTATTAGTTCAGAAATTTGCTTTTTGATGTCGCCGTCTTTCTTGGTTTGTTTAGCGGACATTTCGATTGATTTAACAAAGCACAAAGATAATTAAATGACTCAATAAGTAGTTAAAGTTCTTGATTAATTTACTTCAGATTCGTATAGTATATAAGCTTGTGGCAGACGAGAATTGACGTTTTACTCGGAGCTCTGAGACACACAACTTATCGCCACCATATCTGAATATAAGGAAAGCCATAGAACCCAAGGCTGCGCCCAAATGCTTTTACCCCTGCGCAGAGATATTGATCGCTGTCCCATCCATAGAACCCAAGGCTGCGCCCAAATGCTTTTACCCCTGCGCAGAGATATTGATCGCTGTCCCATCCATTTTACCCCTGCGCAGAGATATTGATCGCTGTCCCATCAAAAATAGCATGAGCACTTTCTTCTTTTCCAGGCTTTATGATCTGCCAGCATTTCTTAGCATTTGGAAAGTATCCAAAATAGCATGAGCACTTTCTTCTTTTCCAGGCTTTATGATCTGCCAGCATTTCTTAGCATTTGGAAAGTATCCCAAATTAGGGCCAGCTTCATTCAGGTGTTCCCACCATCGCTTGATATCTTCCAGAAATCCCGCGCCACTCGCGTCGTCAGCAAACCAACATTGCTTAACGTTGCTTGACACATTCAATCCGGTGATCAGGGGTTGAAGACTGATGGCATACATCCCCATGGCCAGGGGATCCCCTTGTGTGGTACCCTCGGTGGACTTGAGCTTTCCTCCACCAGATATAAATAGTCTAGCTGGTTCGCGATAGGTGTTAATTGCGTAGGTTGACATAGATGGACATAGAACTGTTATGTTGTGGAGTGCAGCCGCTCGATTGAGTGCGTTGAATGAGTTTGAGGCATCAATCAGAAGTACGGCATCTGTCTCGTCTGCTTCAAATATGGAGTGCATCGCATGAACGGCTGCCTCACTTCCGCTCTTAAGACCTGCGCACACCTGTAGCGATCCACTGGCATCAATCACGTCGGGCTTAATCACTTTCATAACACATTTCCCGACAATCCTCCTGATAACTACCCCGACGCCAATTGGACGAACCGCGCCCTCGCCTTTGCCAAGAGGTATAAGCCTGTTGGCTAATATAGGCTCGATAGTTCTCGGGTCAATGTATTCCGTACATAGCCGCCGGGTCATTGTTGCTACTGCCTCACACAAGTTTACGCCTGATTTCTTAAACGATTTACATGCGAAAATACGCTTGAATCCTTGGTTCGCAATGCTGTCTCGCGTATCATTTCGCCATCGATCTGCTGATATAACGAATCGTGCACTTCCTCAAATGGCCCGAAGAGTAACGAGCCAAGTTTGGCCTCTTGTGCCTCAGGGTGTTTCTCCTGAAGCTGTCTCATCACGTCGTCAGTCAAAGGCAGCACTCCATCACAATCAGCCTCACTGAGATATCTCAAAGCAGAATTGATCTGACCTTCCATGACCAACTTGGCGAATATCTTCGCTTTATTTGGAGGCTCCGTCCTTTTAGCCTTTGCTAGACGCTTTTGAATGGACCGGCCTTCACGAAGTAAGCTCTCGACTTCTCCTTCTTTCCATAGCGCTAGTCGTTTTCCCAAGCACTCTTCGTGATCTTTTGCCTTCGATTTTACGCTTGGCTTTTGCAGTGCCGTTGCCAAGAGAACAATTGCAGCTTTCAGCGCTATGTGTTGTGTTTGCGATGCGTTGTTCCAATCGTTTATATGTTGTGTTAGCTGGTCGATAAAGTCTCGCCCAACTTTGCCATACGGGACGAGAAACGTATTTTTACGCCATCGCGTAATTTCATCGTATGCATTAATTATGGTTGACGAGTTGACCGTAATTATTGAGCCGTATATAATAATACCGTAATTATTAGCCGTATATAATAAGAGCCGTATATAATAATAATATAATAATATAATAATATAATAATATAATAATATAATAATATAATAATATAATAATATAATAATATAATAATATAATAATATAATAATATAATAATATAATAATATAATAATATAATAATATAATAATATAATAATATAATAATATAATAATATAATAATATAATAATATAATAATATAATAATATAATAATATAATAATATAATAATATAATAATATAATAATATAATAATATAATAATATAATAATATAATAATATAATAATATAATAATATAATAATAATAAATAATAATATAATAATATAATAATATAATAATAATATAATAATAATATATAATAATATATATAATAATAATATAATAATAATATAATAATAATATAATAATAATATAATAATGATATAATAATGATATAATAATGATATAATAATAATATAATAATAATATATTAGTATAAATTTTGCATATCAAATGAGCTTTCGCGCGTTCTGATTGGCTAGTTGACTAGTAAATCTGAGGCATTATTTACTAGCAGACCAGTAAATAATGCTTTTCAAAAAGAATGATTCAGCAAATTTGGTTTCAAAATCGACAAAATATTGAAAAAATCGTCCCAGAAAACGAAAAAAGCACAAAATGTTGAATTTAACTTGAAAGGTAAGATTTCTTTATCATTTTACTGTGTCAAACATATTCATGGACAATTTAAAACTTATTTAAAACTCCGAAACATTTGCTTCAAACAAATAGCAAAAATTATCCCGACTGTTGGGAAAAGCCGCGATATTCTTTTTAAAAAATTTTGTTTTGTATCCTACAATGAATTTCCCAATTTGTACGACACTATTTCTTTTAATATGTCATGTTTTCATTGTGCTGTAAGGTGTCCTGACCGCTGTATGTTTTTTCGAAACTTGTTTTTAAGTAAAAAGTGTTATTAAACTTTATTTCGAACGATATAGTTTTACATTTCAATTTACCAAATTCCTCAGCCATTTCCTGAAGAAATTAATGCTAAACAGAAACTATTTTTAATTTTGAAAGAGTCATTCCGTTATTGTGTTTATATTCCAAGCAGAAATCGAGAAAAACAACTTTGTAATAAAGCAATAGTCACACAAAAAGCCATTTTGAAAGCGTGTGCGTACAAGAAACACTGCAACACTATTAGTGAAAAGGCCGAAAACAATTCTATTTCTGAAATTTAATTGAACTGATATTCGGATATTTTATTTTATTCGTTAAAAATTTATACTAAAACAATTATTCGCCTCAGGCTCAGTGATTACGGTGAATATTCACCTCGACTTCGTCTCGGTGAATATTCACCGGTAATCACTTCGCCTTCGGCGAATAATTGTTAAATATATATATATATATATATATATATATATATATATATATATATATATATATAATAAAATCAAGTTTACATATACATTATAATATTTATTATTTAAGAAAAAGAAAACATTTTCCGTGTTTCTATAGAGTTATAGAAACACGCGTGCTAGTTTGGGAGAACGAGAAATAATCAGTGGGAACACGAGCACGTAGTGCGAGTGTTTCGACGTTATTTCGAGTTCTCCCAAACTAGCACAAGTGTTTCTATAACTCTATAGAAACACAGGAAAAAATGTTTTCTATTTCCTTTATTAAATAACCTTGTGATAATAACACAAAAACAATATTTTTAACGCGATTAAAAAGTATATTCTCATTACACAATAACAAGAAAATGTTGCCTAGCAACAATACCGGCATCAATTTTCAGTTTTGCCGACTGCAAAATTATGGAAAAAACACGCTGAAAAAGTTGATTTAAAGAAAATTTAAAGCGAAAAAACGTTTGGTAAGTGTTTTCCATTGCTTGTTTAACAAAATTTCAGGTTGACGAAGATTTTTAATCGATATTTCAGGCGAAAATGTTTGTTTTAGTGT